ATATCTTATCTCATGATGTTATTTGAAATATCTTGTCTCATGGTTGTTACAATATTTTTATTTTTTTATAAAATACAAATTTACAAATTTACATATTTATCTCAGTAATATAAGACAAAATATTTTCAACAATATAACAAAATATTTTCTCATTAATATGTCGTGCTTAGTTGAACAAGTAAAGATAAAAAAAAAAGCCATAAATATTATTCTTTGAACAAGCAAGTCGTAAATATTAAATGAGTATATTTGAAGTATTGATAAAAGATGGGATATGTTTGTATCATGTTGCTAGAAGGAACAATAATTTTTTCTGGAGAAGAAGGGGACAGTGACTAAAGTGTCATGTTTGGACAAAAAAATTATTAGACTGTCACGTCAACAGTAAATTTTGTCAAAATACCACGCGGCATAATTCGCTACACTGTGTAGCGAATTATGCCGCGTGGCATTTTGGCAAAATTTACTGTTAACGTGACAGTCTGGTAATTTTTTTTGTCCAAACGTGACAAAATGATTACTGTTCCGCAAAGAAGAGAGAAAAAGTGAGATAAGAAAACTAAAAAAATAAACTTGTGGGCCCATGATTTTATTGTGTGTGTAGATAGCTACGGTAATTTTCGTGTAACATTATCTTTACAATTCTCATAAAAGATATAAATGTGGACCTATTAAAAAAAGAAAAGAAAGATATAACTGTGGAATTGACTCAATTGAGTTGCAGGCTGCAATAAAAGACGGGTCCCCGTTTCCCACTTGACTGTGAGGTTTCTCCGATTTCGAGTAACTGTTTTTTTGTCGTACAGTTTTGCGGGTAAAAAAGACACCAATGAGACTCTTTGATCCATTGAAATTTTTTTGAGGTTTTAATGTACCAATTTGATATTTGATTCATATATTTATCAATGGAGGTCGTTGAGTGATGCGAGTGGATCCAGCGGCACTGAGTGCCACGAACCCACCTCTGCATCATTCACACATTCATTTATTTATTTTTTCAGTTGAGTGATGCCTCATTCCCTGGGAAACTCATAGAATTATGCCACATGCCACAATCTCATTAGTTCCGTTATCGTAAAATTTCGAAAGGCAAATATCTTTTGACTCGGGTATTCAAATCAAATGATTTCTTTTTTTATTTCACATAATTTTTTGAGATCTACACAATGACACCTCATTTGACATATTTTATCTTCCATTAATATAGTTCAAATTTGCAACAATAGTTTCACATTTTTACAAATTCGAACTATGTTTGTGAGAGATAAAATATATCAAATGAGGTGTCATTGCGTAAATCTCGAAAAGTTATGTAAAATAAAAAAAAAAATTATTTGATTTGGATTCCGAGTCAAAAGTTATTAACTTCTGAAATTTTACGATAACGGGACTAACGAGATTGTGCCACTTGGCACAATCCTATAATTCCCAAGGAGAAGGGGGGTCACTCAATTGAAGAAGAAAAAAACGAATGTGTGAGTGACGTGGGGGGTGGTTCGCGGCACTCAGTGTCGCTAGGTCCCCATCGCGTCACTCAACGACCTCCATTGGTAAATATTGTGAATCGAATACCAAATTGAAAAATTAAAGGGGTAAAAATCTCAAATAGGTCAAAGAACCCACAAATGACGTATAAACAACCTAAACCAAACTACACTTAAAATAATGAATTTTTGAAAATTCAAAAATCAAATTAATTTTTAAAATCCAATTCAAGAACCGAACCAAATCATTTTGAAACCAAACTGAACCGATTTCAAACCAAACCGAACCGTTTTATTACTTTTCTTTTCTTTTCTATTCAGAATAGGTTTAACCCGAACCGTTTTCAAACTGAACCCAACCTTTTAAATCAATTCATTTCAGTTTAAAAAAAATATATCAGTTCAATTCGACCCATGTACACTCCTAGTACTCACCACTCACGAGGCAACTTGCTGACTATACCATGCCTTTTAAAGAAAAATATATTGTTTTAATTTAAAAAAATTATAATAATAATTTTTTTTACAAATGTATAAATCTAAAAGGTTGTTGTAATTTTTTAAAAAAAAATAAAAATAGCCACTTTAAAGTATTTATATCGTAATAGATTTAGCAAAGCTATTATAGCTGGAATAACTTGATGTTTTGAAACCTATTTAGTTAAGCAAATTTACCAAATCATTTCAAACAAACAATTGGCTTTTCTATTTTAGCAAAGCTCCTAAGATTTAAGACCTTTGACTCCTAATCACAACCTAAAATACATGGAGCGGGTCCATTTGAATGGACTTTTTTTTTCTCCAAAAGCTGTTTTTTTCTTAAAAAAAATACTTCTCATTTTTAGTTTGTTTGTATGCCTGCAGAAGTCACAAAAAAAGCTAAAAATTTTAACTTCTAGAAAAAGCAGAAGTCAAAAATCAAATATTTTTTCAAAAATTAAATATTTTTATAAAAATATAAATAACTTTAATTTCTGTAAAAAAACATTTTTAAAATAAAAAAAATAAAAATTACTTTTTTGAGAAACCCAAACAATCGGGCTCTAAATCCAATAGAAACTAATCTTTACATCATGGATAGTCAAGCAATTAAACATAGGAAACACACACTTAAAAGTGTGTAGAGGACATCAGGGGTCAGATGAAAAGAAAAAAAAAAAAACTAAATCCCACGTACTTTTATATACATATAAAACATAATTTTATCTCCTTGAATATAACAAACTTTTAAAGTTTAAACCCTCACAAAAAACCTAAACTCAGTAGTGTAATAATCGTGGTGACATAATTCAAGAATTACAAATATTAAAACATTTAGTCAGTTCCCTGAATTGAAACATGAGGGAAAAAAACATGTCAAACCTTGAGGTTGCCCAAAAGGTAGTGTCTTGGCCGGGTGAAATTGAGCTCTCACACACCATTCAGCTGAGAGCCCATTGTAACGGCCGAATAGGTTTTTTTTTTTTTTTTTTTTTTGTAAGTCATTTTTTTCTTCTTACCCAAAACAAAACAAAAAACCAAACAATTTCACATTCAACAGTGATTGTTAATTGGGGCCACAAAGAAATGGATACTCAATGAAGCTTTGGGATATATAGTTTTCCCTTGAAACTGGAAAAAAAAAAAAAAAAAAAAACTAAACATGGTGCACTATTTTGTGATTGATCAACCTATTGAAAATTCAAAAATAAATAAATAACTATAAATTGAAAGCTGAAACTTAAAAAAAGAAAAAAACAAAAAAGAGGAATAAAAACAAAGTGAAAATAAAGAAAGATAAGAGAAACAATAAGTAAAAATAAAAAATAGATAAATAAAAGGAAAAAACAAAACTGTGAGGAAATAAGTTAAATAACAAAATAAAAAATGAAGGGGAAAATAACTAAAACATAGGAGGAACAACATCAAGTCTACCCCTCCATAGAGCTAATAGTTTTATTCCAATCCAACCTAAGACACATTATCCGCAAATCTAATTCTCATGCCATTAAATTTTGTTTTACTACTCCCCACCCCCACCCCAAAAAAAGAGAGAAGGAAAACCTCTTCCTGTGTACATCAAACTCTTGATAACACTTTTGTTATTGCGAGAGCATTTAGGGATCTTCGTATTATAAATCGAAACCATCTCAATCTACATTTTCTCTACTTTTAAGCCACAAGTACTATTATCTTTCCTTGAATATCTTCATTTTCTATCTTATCCATCTTTGTATGACCATACATCCACCTTAACGTTGTCATTTTTGCTACTCATAATTTATCCTCATGTTGCCTACATGCTACCCAAAGTTCAAATCCATATAACATTTCAAGTCTTACTACCATTTTATAAAAAATTTCTTTTAGCCTCAAAGGAATTTTGCAGTACACAAAAACATGATGCAGTATGTCATTTCATCTAGGGTTGGCAAAACGGGCCAACCCGGCCCAACCCGCAAGCAACACAAAAAAAAGAGTCGGGTTAGAGTTGGTTATGAAAAAAAAAAACGAGCCAGAAAACTCAACCCAACCCGAGCCAAGCGAAGTTAGAGGCAACTCACGGGTTGGCTCAAAAATATGGCTCATGGGTTAGCTTGAAAAAATGACTAGCGAATTGGCTCAAAAATTGGCTCGTGGGATGGCTCAAAAATGGCTCGCGGGTTGGCTCGTTTTCAGCCTATTTAAATGAACCTGTAGTATTAATGCACCAGCTATACGACTTCCATGAGTTTAAACAATACAATTGTCTTACATAATAGTTTATAAAAAAAAATGCAAAATAGAAAGTTACAAAATGAGAAGTAAAAGCAAAATGTTTTAGTTTCGAATTTTCTTCACAACAAATTTGCACCAACATCGAGAAACAATTAGAACCGCTTGCAACCAAATGGGTAAGATATTTGAACCAAACAGAGCCAACATAGCCTAACAATATAAAAATGGCAGCAATGTGAGAAAATTAGGGACTTAAGTTTAGAGAAGGAAGAGAGACGATAACAGCATGTGTGAGTTTTGTCCATTTTGTATATTATATTTTGTATTTTTTTATTAAAAAAAAAAACTCAACTCGCGAGCTGGCCCATTTGACTCACGGGTTGGCTTGTTTTTTTCAGAGCTGACTCGGGTCAGGTTGGCAGCTCATTTTTGCCAACCCAACCTGGCTCATTTTTTATGGGTTACGAGCCAACCCGACGGATTGGCTCATTTTTGCCAACCCTAATTTCATCCAACCTAGAGTAATTTTGTCAAAGCAAGGGCCAGTTTGGTAAAGAGTAAAAAATTCATAAATCAGTTTTCAATACAATTTTACTAATAAAATTGATGTATGAATTTTTCAACTCAATATCAAACTGACCCCAATAACACACAAATAAATGGTGAATCATTTATACAAAAGAAGATAGCTTTCCTTGAGCATGAAAGAAATTGATAGCTTCGTATGTGATGGAAAAACCAGAGTAAACAACCTAACATTCAATTCAGTTTCATGATGATTAAATAAAGAAACTAGAAAAGATGCAATATAAAAGCAGATAAGCCAGAAAAAATAAATTATGTCCAATAACAAATAGAAAGTGACACCAAAATTATCAACCGTACTTGGATCCAACATTACACCTTAACTGCATATTTTCTCACTGGAAAGTACAATTCCCTCTTCTTCTCACGCTCTGTCTTCAAGGATGCCTGTAGGAAACACAAAGCAAACCGTTTAGCCACTTTAAGTAATAACCCTATGTGACTAGACATCTCAATTAAACTCAGCAACTCAAGGTAAAACAATAATTTACAGTAAACATCACAGGAAACACCACACTACTTACTAAGAAGAATGAACCCCACATATCAAAACATGTATACGAATTTAAAAAGCATGTTCATCTTCTACTTAGATCACACCAACCATAGAAACATTACATGAATCAGCATTGTGTAGCTTCTAGCAAGTAATTTTGTGAAGCATCTAGCAAGTAATTTTCGCGTTAAGTTCAAGTTCGCAAAAACAAGCAATTGTATCATGTCATGCTCCACTACAGGGTAAGTAATAATCATGGATGCTAATACTGTAATTTATTTTCATAAATGATTATCAATTTGGCACTTATTTCCACCCTTATTAAAGTGCAACATGTAACTTCTGTACATTACACAATCTACACCCGTAAGGACATATTATTACATTAACTCTCTGCACTTACCCCCCTCACTTTTTTATCTTTCACCCATACCATGCAACACATAATCAATATAATAAGAAAAGTTTTTTTTTCTTAATTACAAAAATGCAATGAATGCAGGGGAGAAAAAAAAAAGGGGGTACCTGGTGCTTGGTGAGGCGCCTTCTGATAGCTCTGGTCTTCTTTGGACGCAGATCCAAAGGAAGGTACTTCTTCTTCTTATAAGCCTCCCTCAACGCTGCTTTTTGCTTCTGGGAAATCACCGTCAGCACCTGCGCTATCGAAAGCCGAACCACTTTTCTGCATTCACATAACAAATGCAATCAAATGCGTAAATGCTTCAATCCGATTACGGATTTAATCTCAAATTATAGAGAGAGAGAGAGAGAGAGCACATTTTGGAAAGCTTGTTAGGGGCTCCGCCAGTGACCTTAGCGACGCGAAGGAGAGCAAGTTCTGCTTTGAGATCCTTCAATTGGTTCAGAAGCTCTGCTTTCGTTTTGTTCCTGAGCTCGTACACCTTGATTCTCGCTTTTACATTTCACAAAACAAAATGGAAAATCGAAAAATCATAATCCAATTGAAGGAAATTACAATTTAGAAGCATGCACAGTAGTAGATGCTTGTTCATACCCATTGCGAAGCTCCTGTGTCGCTGTAGAGAGGGTCTAAAGAAAGAGAAACCTTAGTTGATTGCTATGCTCTGTTATTTACTCTTTTCCTTTTCCGAAACCCTAATTTGGGAGAAGAAAAGCTAAGATCAGTGAACGTATCAAAGTGAATCTGGGCCTCATTCACTGGGCCTTCTATACAAGGGACAAACTTAATGGGCTCCTCAAGTTTTCCTTTTCCTGTTAAGAGAAAGTCCACGTAAATTAACTAGAGACTTGCAAACGAGGAGGATAATACCATTCAAATAATTGAGATAAATATATAATTATTCAATTTAAGTATAATTTTTTTTTAATCTATAAGAATTAAATTTATTTTATATGAATTAACCAATGGAGGATTTCATTTTTTGGGCGAGAAAACAGCTACGGCAAAATGATTTAAATTAAGAGAATTTAAATGCAAAATGTTACTTTTGGGCTCTTAAGTCTTAATTAATCCATTGAAACTGGGTTCTTACTTCTTACTGGCTTGACAAAATTGTATTGAATCCAGTTTCCAGTCATTCAAAGTTTGGGGGGATCAATTTGTAGTGCTGCGTCACAGTTTTTCTGTTTTTTTTTTTTTTTTTAAGTAAAAAGAAAAGAAAAAAAACACTTGTTCGAAGAAATGTGAGCTGAGGCTAGCTCCATGTGTCCTCCACATTCTACAATTCCACTAATTATCTATATAGACTATGAGCATGTTTGAATACTCTTATTTTTTTAGTTAGAAGCTATTTATAAACTAAAGCTAAAAAAGAGAGTTTAAAAAAGAAGCTAAAAACTGTTTGAAAATTACATAAAAAATTTAGCTTAAAAATTACTTAAAAGCACATATTTCAAAAAAATTATCTTTTTCTATCTTTATCACTCTTCATTTAAAAAAAAGCACACAATTCAAGAAAAACATATAAGAGTTTAAAAAAAAGCTCATCTTAGGAGCTTTTAGTTTCCAGCTTTTTTCTTTATAATAAAAAAAAAAGCTTTTTATTATAAGAGCTTTTTTCAAAATCTATTTGAGCTAGTTTATGCTTATAAGTAACTTCTAGCTTAAAAAAAAAATCCACAAGAGGCACTTTATATTTAATCAATCAGGACCCAATTCAAATCTAAAGCAAGAATGTATAAGGATCAGATAAAGGTCTATAAAACGATCTAAAAACTTGAAGTATCACATCCAAAACATGAAAATTGAAAAGTACCAGAATAAACAAAGCCCAATGTGAAACAAATATGGGAAAAGTGTGTATTATTTTAAATGATGTAAAATTATGTCATTTTAAGTGAGAGAAAGAGATAGATAAAGGAGGAGATAGAGTTGACAAAAAAATATAAATGTACGGGTCCCACCTCTTTGTGAGAGTAAAATAACATAAGTTGTGTCATTTAAAAGGACAAACAATTTTCCCAACAAATATATGTCAATGTTTTTCTCTTGTTCACTCAAGCTGAAACGCACCTGGTAGGGCCAAAACTGTTCTCCAGTTAAAAAAACATGGTGCGGGAAAAAATGAGTTCATAAACTTAAATGCATGTGAAGTTAAAAAGTTAGACTCGTTAATTTTTTTCCTGTTTGTTGGGACATATAATCTGAAATCTGTTTCCAAGGAAATTCGGGAATTCAAAACAAGTGCAAGACCAACCCAAAAAAAAAAACTGCTATTCATATTCACCAAAATGAAATATGTGTTATTTTCTAGACCTTGGGGCTGAGCACTAGAAAAGCATTGACATCTATTAATCATATAAGGAGCGATGGGAATCAATTAATACAACCGCATCTCAGTATAACTAGCTCTCACAAATGGCCTATTTTACCCTTACAGCGTAAAAACTTAAGCATATCATCATGTTAGTTTTTTTTTTTGTCAAATTATTTGTCCATATGTTGCGAGTGAAACACACATGGAGAATATGTGTTTAAGTCGCACATATGCGCAATTTGTATAAAACCAAAAAAAAAAAATGTTACATGTTGCACTCTGCAAAATACATATCCAAAGATGTGATATTTGAATGCTCATTGCCAAAACACGTGTCTTGTATTGCATTGATTTTTACACAAATTATATATGGGTGATGTGCGATTTAAACGCACACATTCACCGTAAATAGATAAATAATTTGCTTAAAGAATTAACCTCTGATAATCTATCTAACAAATTATTTTCAATCAACATAGTCTATTTGACACATCTCTTTTTTTAACTTATAAGTTGCTTTTAATTTAAAAAATACATTGAATGATAGCCATAGAATTGGAGAGGCCATTTGTTTATTTGTACGTAATTATGAACTCATTTTCCAATTTCCACCATGCTTTTTTTTTCAGCAGTCACTTTTATCAAGACTACTTAACTAAAGTGAGAATGATTTTTTTTTCCCGCAAAACAATCATGTTATACGTTATCATTTAATAATTAATGGTTAATATTTATGTATGTGTTTTACTTAACACTAATTTCTAAAGTTATTAATACTCTTAAAAAACAGATACCAAAGAAATCTCCTATCTTTTATATGCTTACTACACTGACTTTTAATTTCAAGGGTTTTGAATTTGGTAGCTCTAATGTACGGTAACTAAAAGCTAAGTCTTGGTGCTGAAATCACATTTATCGAGTTTTTAAAGTATGGAATACAATTCTCTAAATACTTGAAAATTTTACAAGTAAACTAATTTTGGAATATATGAATAGTTGAATACTCATTTAAATTTGTTTCAGAAAACTAAATTATTAATAAGTTATCGTTAAATTTTATTGCTATTACAAAAATAATTTCAAATATATATATATATATGACCTTTTCTTGCTTTCTTTTAGTGTTTTTTTTTCTTTTTTGAATTTCTTCATCGAGACTTACTTTAAGCTTACTTGAACTCTGACCCTTTTTTAATTGAAAAGGAAACATAGGCTGAAATGTGACTTAACTTTTGCACAGAATTTGAGATAAGAAGCGAAGACCCAAAATGAACTGAGACACTACGAGGTGTTTGGTTGAGGAATTTTTTTTTGAATATTAGGGAAGTGTAATTATTAGAGAAATGGTTAGAAAGTAAGTTTGGTAAGAAAATGTAAAAAAAGTTGTTTGGTTGACCAAAATATTACCAGGAAAATTTATTTAAATTTGCAAAATTTATGTTCGGGAGAAACTTCACATGTTTTTTCACCCTAGTTATCTCAAAATACCACATCTCAAGTGGTATTCTGTAACCGTGAATTTCATCCAAAAATCAACACAAGTTATTTCTCCATCTATCCTATTTGCCTAGTATTTTTTTCAAAAACCTGAACCAAATATCCAGTTACACTTTCTCATCAATCTCAAAATAAATCTTCTACCAAACACTAAAAGGAAGACATGATGGGGAATAAAATTAAATGAAGAGAGAAAGAAATCACAATCAACCTTTTCCTTTCTTTGATATTCTTTAATTTTACGAGGCGGTTTTTTCATATTATAATTATTTTTAAAAAAATAATCGCAATGGGAGTGTAGCAACGATCTTGGCAATTAGCATCTTGCCACCTTTTTTTTTAACTTCGGTCCTTACGGATGATTTTTTTTTCTTCAAAAACTGTTTTTTTTAAAAAAAAAAAACACTTTTTAAAAAAAATCTGTTTGGATGTCTGCTTTTAGAAAAAGCATAAGTCATAAAAAAAAGCTAAAAACCTACTTTTTTTCGAAGTTAAAAATTTTAGCTTTTAAAAAAAGTAGAAGCCAAAAACCAAATACTTTTTTCAAAAATCAAATATTTTTTTAAAAATCTAAATAGCTGTAACTTTTATAGAAAGTACTTTCAAAATAAAAAGTGATAAAAAATACTTTCTTTGAAAAGCCAATACAAACAGGCTGTTAGTTGGTTCAGTAAGCGTCTTCATGATGAAGAACAACTGTGCTGACAGGAACGTCCGAGAAAAGTATCGCTATAGGCGTGGATGAGTTTTATACATCTTTAAGTTAATTTTTTTAAAAAAAAAAAATCTAATTAGTTCAGGACATTAACTAATAGCTGAGGTATCTACGCATAAATCTAATTATTGTACATTTTAGAATTTCACCCGAGAGAAAAAGAAAAAAACAAACAGAAAAGATAAGATTGATTAGAAATATTTTGTTTCCGTCTTGATAAGATAAACCACGCATCTTATCTCGAATAATAATGGTTCAAACTCTTTATTGATGAAATAGAAAAACTTTAAAGTAGACTCCACTAATTCCTCAACCCAACAGTCCCCTACTAGATAATGAGTTCCTAGAGCATACGAAGCTTTTATTTTCCGTTTTGATGAGACGGAATATGGATGAGGAATCTCTACAACCAAGCAATGATATATTTATTCTACTTTGGTGGTGGGAAGAAAATAGCATCCGCAGTCCTCTTTGAACGGAATAGTTGCTCAACTCCTGCATCAACATTGAATGCAGCCTGCAGAACCGTAGGTGATAAAGCCTTCCACACCGAGGAACTTCCAGCCAAGTGGGTAAATATAGGACTGCCAAAGTAAGAATCATACGGATTAATAAAAGGACCATTGCAAGTTATCATATAGAAAACAATTATGACTGTGAAGGTTAGCATGCCTTTGACAATCAAATGTATCAATCAATTTGTATAATGTGCAAGCAATACAGAATAGTTGTTCACTTATTTGAATTTCCAATTTACAATTTCCAACCAAATAAAGATTCCTTGCAATCATAGGGATTAGGAACAGAAATTTTCGTTTATGATGGGTTCTATGTGTCACTCGCTAGTTATTAAAAATTAGTACAGGCATGAGAGTAGAGAAATTTGAAATACAAATAAACTACAATAGGGTGGGGTTCCCATGCACGAATAACGACACAAACATGGTAGAGGTATAATATCCAATCTACGAAGCAACAAATAGAATGTTAAAGGAATGATTACTTCTGTAATGACCTGTATTACAACAACAACAAACAAATACTGACAATAAGGAAAAGAAGTAAGAAAGACATACTCAGGGCTCCCGGTGATGATAGAGAACCACTCCATTCCATCAGGATCACCAATCTTTGAGACCACAAAAAACCTTGGCACAATGAACAAATTACCAGCTTTTAGGGTTGTCTCCAAAACCCTTTTGCCATCAACACCAACAATCTGAACTCGACCACTACCCCTGACAATATAAGTAACCTGCAAAGCAGAGTCACAAGAGAATCCCGGAGAACACATGGCACTTCCATCCAACCTTACAAGGTCAGCTCCTAGATTAATCTCACCAACCAAGGGGAGATTCTTGGTGTTCAGGACTACAACCCTTCCACCACCCTTAATGTCGACATCCAATGGAGCCTCTTCACAGTTCAATGCCATACCATTCCTATGCTCTTGTTTAGGATCAGGAAGGCTGATTTTTCCTTCCAGCTTCACAATGCCTTTGCCAGATTGTTTTCCAACAAGGGTCTTAACATCCTTCTCTTCCAAATCCCAAGCTCTGCCCACAAACTCAGTTGAAAAGCCCGTGAAGATTCCATTGGAGCCAGTCAGAAAAAAGTCAGTGAATTCACCAGCCTTGTGAGCTTTTGAAGTGTCGCCCAGGAACAGAACAACCAACTCAGTATCCTCCTTATTATACCACCAGGTCACAACACCAAAGGGGAGAGCCAAGGCATCACCTTTCTTGATTGCAAGAACCTTCTCTTCCTTTTCAGGGAGCACAATTCCAGCAACTCCACTTCCTGTTTCACAAATAACCAATATAACACCATAAATTCAAAAGGTAGAATACAGAATCACTGACAATAATTAATAATAACAAATAAAATATATATTTTTTTTAAAAAAAAGAGGACTTTTAGGATCCCAATATATTGCATATAAGAAAAAACACTAAAAAAATATTTATTTGATTCCCACACAATCAAGTTATTATATGATTTCATATCAGTCAGATTACCTTCAAATATCAATGAATCTCATCATAACCATCAAAACAAATAAAAAAAGTTTAGAACGTATCAATTAAAACAAATAAACCCTCAAAACGAAAAATAAAAATAAAAAGAAAGGATCGTCGACAACGAATTCAAGAAATGTCCACCAGATCATAAAATGGGTAGATGAATTAAATAGCGAGAGAGGGATTGAATTGAATGTACCTTGGAGAACGTAAGCAACTTTGGAAGAGTCAGAGTAACGAGGAACAGCGAAACCGTTCTTCTCAAGAGCGAGCTTAGCGGCACCGATGTTGCCTTCGCGAAGCATGGGAAGCTCAGAGGGAGACCAGGTGTAGTAAGAGCCACCATTGCCTCCGTAAACCTTCTTGGCCAACTGGGGAGTAAGATCAATCTCCATCTTGTTTTTTTTATTTTATTTTATTTTCTTTTCTTTTCCTGCGGATTCCCACTACCCAAACACTAACACAGAAAAAGAAAAAGAAGAAAAGCCCTTTTTTTTCTACTTCGTAATATTATCACTAGAACCACACCGCGCGTATGTATATATATAGTGACAAACAAGGAGTGGAAGGATTTGATCCAGTCCAAATTCCAAACGTAACCGTAATTCCCAACGAGGAGTAAATAATCCCATTAAATTTGGGATTGGATAATGGATAGAGAGCAGATTCATGTAATTCTTCTCTTTCTTTGCAAGTAGAATAAACTATACTAAATCTTATTGTTTTAGGAAAACGATTCAATTTAATCCTTTTTTATAATGTTAGTTAATTAGTTTTGTTAGAATTATCAATTTAATTCTATTTGATTTGAAAAAAATTAATATATAAATTTATCATAATTCAAAATTTCAATTTATCAAAATATATTGAATACAAATTAAATAAATTAATCCAAACATAAATTTAAATTTTAAATATAATCTCAATTTAACAATATTATAACATATATAAAAATCTAAGAAGAAAATAAATTTATCTTGAGACATAATAACTATGAATAATATGAAATTTCTTAAAACAAAAAGCTTCACTTTATATTTATATATATTATTAGAGGAACAAATCCTGTTTTGGAAACATTCTGCATTTAATTTTTTCATATTATAACTATTTTTTAAAACAATCGCAATGGGAGTGTAGCAACGATCTTGGCAATTAGCATCTTGCCACCTTTTTTTTTTTTAACTTCGATCCTTAGTTGGTTCAGTAAGCGTCTTCATGATGACTAACAATTGTGCTGACAGGAACGTCCGAGAAAAGTATCGCTATAGGCGTGCATGAGTTCTATATATCTAAGTTAATTTTTTTTTAAAAAAAAAAACTAAGTATCTACGCATAAATCTAATTATTGTACATTTTAGAATTTCACCCGAGAGAAAAAGAAAAAAACAAACATAAAAGATAAGATTGATTAGAAATATTTTGTTTCCGTCATGATAAGATAAACCACGCATCTTATCTCGAATAATACTCGTTCAAACTCTTTATTGAGGAAATAGAAAAACTTTAAAGTAGACTGATAGGATTATAATTAGTTGTCAGCAAATTGTGAAGATTATAATTAGTTGTCAGCATAATTAATATGTTAATATCTTGCATTGTTAGCATATTGTCAATATAGGATTAGAATTAGTTATCAGAATAATTTAAAAATTCAAATTGTATATCGTTCTGTTGTATTCAAGAGCCATGTTGCACAACAATGTAACAAGATTGTATTCTTATCAGTTTTATATATATATATATATATATATATATATATATATATATATATATATATATATATATATAGAACGATCATTTGACACCTCATCTGATAGCCGTTAGATCAAAAAATATCAATGGTGTCACATGCTTACAAATCAGAGTCGTCAATCTTTTTTTATCTAACGGCTCTCAGATGAGGTGTTAAATTTGAAATTTGACACCGGTGTCAAAGGATCTTGTCTCATATATATATATATATATATATATATATATATATATATAGGGTCAGGATCATTTTACACCAGTGTAAGTTACACTTTTAATCTTGTCCGTTAATCCCACTTATATCTAAGGGCTCTAACTTTTTAGTAATATGATCATGCCCCATATATATATATATATAAGGGTTTACATTAGCAATCAAATACTTGCCATATATATATATTTGAAAGTATTAAATGCGAGAAATCATAACCATACAAAGGATAAAAGCATTAAATATGAGGAATCATAACCATACACCTGTCGTTGTTGTATATAAAGCGGCTGCAGAAATGATTTTACCATATATATATGGGATAGGATATTGTGACACCCAAGTTATGTTACACTCATGTGACACCCAATCAATCTCACCGTTAGATCGCTTATGTTGATCCAACGGTTATATTTATTTCCATCTTTGTATGGTCATGATTTCCCAAATTTAAAGTGAAAGCATTAAATATGGGAAATCATAACCATACAAAGGTAGAAATAAATATAAAATATTAAATTTGGGAAATCATGACCATACAAAGATGGAAATAAATATAACCGTTGGATCAACATAAGCGATCTAACGGTGAGATTGAATGGGTGTCACAGGGGTGTAACGTAACTTGGGTGTCACAATATCCTATCCCTAAATGTTTTTCCCTATATATATATAGGGATAGGATATTGTGACACCCAAGTTATGTTACACCCATGTGACACCCAGTCAATCTCACCGTTAGATCGCTTATGTTGATCCAACGGTTATATTTATTTTCATCTTTGTATGGTCATGATTTCCCAAATTTAAAGTGAAAGCATTAAATATGGGAAATCATAACCATACAAAGGTAGAAATAAATATAAAATATTAAATTTGGGAAATCATGACCATACAAAGATGAAAATAAATATAACCGTTGGATCAACATAAGCGATCTAACGGTGAGATTGATTGGGTGTCACATGGGTGTAACATAACTTGGGTGTCACAATATCCTATCACATATATATATATGAGAAAAATATTTCTCAAGCAGCTTAAGATATATTTATCTTCATCCATTCAAAAATTATGTCTTTTTGTTTATTTATTTTCTTATATTAATTGATTCTCTTTTGAATGATTATGATTCCTTTTTCTCTCTCCCTTTATCACCATTGATCTATCTTTGTACGATTATGATTTAGTAGCAAGAGATAAAATTATCTCAAACAACTTGATAAACAATAAGCCCTATATTATATATATATATATTCAGTTTTATTTGAATTTGACCAACTTTCAAATTTAAATTTGAAAGTTCATTGAATTCAATTAATTAGTTTTTTATTATTGATTAGGTTTTAAATCTAAACATTAGAGTTCATTCGATTAATTTGTTTGAATTTTCAACTTCAACTTTTAAATTTTTAAATCTGTTTTTTTATTGTAACAATTCCAATTGAAATATCACAATATATAACTTCCAATAAAAATCAAATATCTTTATGCCATGTTAACTCACTTTAGGGCCCGTTTGGTGGTAAGTGTAGAGAGGATAAGATAAGATATATTATCATATCTCATTATTTATTTATTGTTTGATGAACCAACAAGATATGATGAGTTTATCCAGATAACTCATTTTTTTCTGTTCATGGGATAAATTATCCCTTAGACTTTGGTGATGATATACCTTTTTTTAAAAAAAAAAATTTGTGTTATCAAAAAAAAAAAAAAAAATTTTTTGTATATGATCTATGTATTTTAATATATTTTGCTTAAAATTGTGACTATTGAAAATTTTAATTTATTTAAAATAAGAACTAATGTGTAAATAAGTAAAAAAATTCAATTTTAAAAAATAATTTGAAATTCTATCAAAAAGATACTTTTATCTAATTATATCATATCATGATACCATATGATTCGCCTCAAGTATCGGATATGATAACACTATCTTATTATATTAATGGGTTTAATATTTCTGCTTTTGTTGCAAAAAAAATTTGTTTGCCACTTTCACATAAAAGTGAGTGGGTCCCATTATATTCTATTAACTTTTTATCTCTCTTCTTATTATATTGGGACCCACTAACTTTAATGTGAGTGTGAAAAATAATTTCTACAACAAAAACATAAATATTTTTCCCTACATTGATCTATTATATTGTTTATCTAATGTAAATTGTAACAACCAATAAATAAAGAGAAAGTTGGCGCCAATGGCGCTAAAGTTGAATATTGGTGGTGCCACTAACGCCATAATTTATACAAAAAAAAGGGAGGGGGACTAGCGCTAGTAGCACCAATGTTGGGGTTAGTAGCACCAATGTTGGGGCCAGTAGCTCCAGAGGGCACTGCAAAATTTGTTGGTAGCGCCGAAGTGGCGCGCAAGTAGCGCCACACGTGTATAAATAAAAATATAGTAAAACCACGTGGAGGCACGGGTAAGGGTTGGAGTCTTTGATTTTATTGGATTTATAATGATTAATTAGATAAGTTTAGGTTAGATATTTTAAAAGTAATGAGCACATTGCATATATACATCTCTCTCTATATATATATACACCCACTTGACGAAGAAAGGAAGAAAAACAGTGAGAGAAAAAGGGAGAAATCGAGGAAAGAGGAAAGGGAATAGGGAAAAAGAGAAAACGCATAACAATGAAGAGAAAAAGAAAGGTGTTATGAACCTGACAAAGACCCACATTCTAGAAGGTCCAAGAAAGGCTAATAGCTAAGAGAATATTCTTTGCTACATGAAACTAACACAAAGACCTACAACACTACAAAATCTTAGGACCACTTGATGTTTGGATTAGATCTGGTTCCATTTTGGAGTCGATACTCTATTTTCGGAAGTAGGGTTTGGAGCGACCAACTTGTAGATGCGTAACTCGGGCTATACTTAATCGATTGGTTAATATTACACCTTTTTGAAAAGCCCAAGATGTATACTCTAATATAATAAAATATGAGAGTTAATAGTGAAGTCATATAATTTACAACATGTAATTAGCAATGACAGTTTAGTGCGAAGAACGAATAAAGAACTTATCCTTTTGATTGTTAATAAAAAATAAAGGACGTGTAGACCACGTAGCACCATTAATTGAACCTAGTTCCTTGATACCTAAAGGAGAATTTTATTTGAGACATTAACTAGAATCATTAATTCGATATAGTTGCGTTTAATGCCCTAAGTGATGATAAGACGTCGGGTGCCACATGAGGTGTTACACCTTATTTGGCTTGAGCTCCGCCAAACAAAAACGTTCACATACAAAACTAACAAAAGGTTTGGCACCCACAAAGATTTGGGCAGTTAAAGGTTATACGTTCTTTTCTATATTTGTATGTAAAAGCCCACAAAGTTATGGGTTTATGTTTATTAAGAACCCACAAAGGTCTGGGTATATATTTGTTATTCATGTTATTATTTTCTTACTATAAACATGTTTATGGGAGAATGATATTTTTCGCTAAAGCGGCTGGATTGATTATAATTCAAAAACTTCAATATTACTGAGATTTATCTCAAGTGTGTTTGTTTTTATGCTATCTTTTCCAGAAAATAAAGATGTTTAGTATGTGTATCATTTGAGTAGGATGAAGCACCATGATTAAAGATTATGAGGACAGTATGAAGTTCATGAAGATCGTGTATACAAGCTTAGTTAAAGTTTTTACTTGATCTTAAATAGTTTAGAGACACAAAATCAATGTATTTGACTCAGTCCTATGTATAATTAAATCTTAAATCTATTTTATCATATGCTTTATTTTATATCCGTTGTGTGAGAATATAATATTTTTTAATTTAAAATAAGATTTAAGAATTTATATAATATCCTTTATGCTAGCCAGTTATGGAAGATGTTACATAAATCAAACGATAGAGGCTTATTATGCCAATAACTTTTCCTACCTATATCTGGCGCTTATATCCTATTATAAGCCCGTTTTGATGAACATTTTTTCTTCAAAAGTTTTTTTTTTAATAAACACTTATAAGAAAAGGTTATTTGAATGTCTACTTAAAAAAATAGAAGTCATAAAAAAAGTCAAAAACTTACATATTTTTAAAAGCTAAAAATTTTAACTTTTAAAAAAAGTAGAAGTCAAAAGTCAAATATTTTTTTAAAAAACCAAATATTTTTTTAAAAATCTAAATTACTCTAACTTTTATAAAAAATACTTTTAAAATAAGTAAGGTATAATTTTTTTTTTTTTTTGTAAAGCAATCAAAACGGGCTCTATATTTACCAAACCGGCCCTTCAACATATATTGTTTTTATTGAAAGTCATGCATTCGGATATTCTAAAGAGAATTGATACAGCACAAAGTTAAAAAATTAAAATTAAAAAACTCAAACAAATTAATTGAATTGCATCAACTTTCATATTTAAATTTAAAACCTAATCAAAACAGACGTGAAAAGTTTTTTCAATCTATCACTCTTTAATTTCTGTTGTGGGACAAAATTCAGTGAAACTCGTTGAACATGATTTGATTTGAGAGGAAAATTAAAAAATAAATTTTCAAGTGAGATATATCGAAAATAAGTTTAGTTGTTTTTTTTTCAGATCATCATTTATTCAAAATACTTTAAAAGTGTTTCAAAATATTAAATTCATTTACATAATAATTATTCAAAATTTTAAAAACTTGACATACTCATTTATCATTAAATAAGTGAGTAAACGAGTATTTAAAAAAACAAGTGAGTAAACCTTACAACTATATCTTATTTTAAAAAGACACTCAAATATCGAATATTTTATATCTAAAAACTCACATACTGCAAACGAATATTTAATTTTAAAAGTTCTAAAACACGAGGAATGTTATAGTTACAACCTTTTTTTTTACAACCTCTTACAACCATATATCATAACCGTTGATTTCCGTCAATCAACGGTTGTCATTTATTATGAATTAATAATTAATTAATGAGTTTAATTTGTGAAAATCATAACCGTTGATTGGCGGAAATCAACGGTTATGATATATGGTTGTAAGAGGTTGTAAAAAAAAAGTTGTAACTATAACTTTCCTCTAAAACATATCTTAGTATATTAACAATTTTTTAAGTACATTTGAGGTTGAATATAATATTTAAACAGAAGAAAACGAAACCTAATTATTATCGGTAATAAATTATTAAATCATTTATTTGTTTATGTTATTGTAATTATCTATGTTGCACTTACACTGACACGGGACATGAGATACGATACGACACGATACTTCGACACATTAATTTTAAAAAAGTTAAATTTCGACACGTTAGAACACGTTTTGATGTTATATAACATTTTTAATTTATGTAGTATATATTATGTTTAATATTTAATAATTTAACAAAAAAATAATGTTAAACTTATAATACCCATCAATTTTGCAAAGAAATATAAGATATCCAAAATGTTTATATTAAACTCAATAAAATAGTAATCGTAATCCAACGAATCTAATAGTTGGAACTCAAAATGCAACGCAACGTAACGTAACCTTTTTGAGTCTTTGCAACGAGTATTGGAGTGTCGGGAAGTATCGGAGTATCGATTAGTGTCGGACACGACACATCAAGAATTTTAAAGTGTCGGTACTTTATAGGTTATTACCATCGTTATCATTATTATATAAAAGGGAAAAGTGACAATACAAGACAAAGTTATTTTTATTTTATTTTTCAATACGTGATATTTTGAGAATTTTGTTTCTCTCTTACAATATTAATTTTTTTTTGAAATGTCTTTTATTTTTTGTTTCTCTCTCACAGTATTGTTATTTTTCTTCAAATCCCCAAATTATAAAAAAAGACAACATTCAAGAATTTGTAAATAAAAACATTATCTCAGGAGAAATTAACCAAATTGACTTAGAAGTGTAAAAAATTAAATGAACCAAACTGAATTAAAGGAGGGACTCTAAGTGTAAGAAAAAATTAAATGAATCAATCTAAACTGATTCGAATTATATTAAAAAAAGTCATATTTTTTCAATCAGTTTAAAAATCAAATTATTTTTTTTAATTGGTTCAGTTCGGTTCCGGTTAAAAATTGAATCAAATTAAACCATTTCACTCTTAAAAATATGAAAAAGATTAAATGAACCAAACTTAATCATGAATCAAACTGAACAACTCCATATTTTTTTACACCGAACCATTTTTTAACCAACTCAAGAATTTAACCACTTTTTAAAATCAATCTGATTTACGGGAACTTAACCATTTTTTTAATTTGGTTAAGTTCATTGTAAAAAACCGATTCGAAACTAATCGTATCCTTCCCTAGATGGAAGTGAGCCACATAAAAACCCAAATCACAGGTCCATGACCCGTAGTGCAAGACATTGCTTAACTTATTCTTGATGATCACTAGTGTCTATATATACAATATTTAACATATTTTATTTTTTTAATAATTATTTTTACGATGAACTGCTTTTATCTACTATCTTCTGGATGTAATTAGGTTAGACTTTGACTTAAATAGATCAGGTTTGTGTAAAAAAATCTTAGATTTGACCTGATCTATTAGCCGGCCCTAAATTACAAGTTAAACCGATCAATATTTAAAAAATAAAAGTTTTGACCTAACCTGTTAGCCTGTTTAAGCCTATTAAATATTTAATAATTAAAAAATAACTAAAATAATATTATTTTATTATTCAAAATTATTAATATAATAATTTTATTTAAAATAAATAATATTATATAAGTCAGCTTACAAGTTTATAGGCCCGACATGTACAAAAAAAACGTATGATTTGCTTTTTAAATAGGTTTTCTTAAAAGCATAAATATGTTCTATTTGACTATTTGTAATAATCAAAGTCTGAGTTAATATATGCTAGGTTGTAGGCTAACCTAACCTATTTATATTTCTACTTCTCTCTATTTAACTCGAGTTGATGGACCCACTTTTTTTTCCATATATTTTTTGGATGTGTTACGTATGAGAAAACTTTTTTCTTATACACTCACAAATTAAGAATGAAACTCACTTTCTAATTTTTTTTCTCTCATTTATTATCTCTTATCGGTTGTGAATGCATGAGATAAAAATTACCTAACCTAACATTGAAAGTTATATTACTCTAATTTATTTTACGCAACATGAAAAATATATCACTTGTATATATTAAAAAAAATTTAGATTGGGGCCATGCGAATAGATTTTAATCTTATCCGGCAGTATAATATGGGGGCTCCGAACTGTGCTGGCTGTGTTGTCATAGTGGGGGCTCAAGGGAATGTGATCGCGTCTTCTCCTCCCAAAGCAATCGCCATTCGCCGGTTCACCTTTTATTTTTCCACCGTCCCATTCACACTGCCACCAACAACATCAACTTTAGTCAACTACCCTCCCTTTTCTTTCTTTCTTTCTTTCTTTTTCTTTCTCCTTTTTTATTTATTTATTAAAATAAATAATCATATTCTATTCTTCACCCCCTCCTCCGTAGCCGCCACCATCGACCACTACTCTTCTACTTTCAGGTTCTCTCTCCGCCTCTTCAGTCACCGCGCATGACGCATAAACAATTTCACTCTTTAGTTTTGCCCGATTTTAGCAATTTGTTTTGATTTGGCTGTTTCGCACTGTTTTCATGCATTACAACACCGGCAGAGCTTCCTCAAGCACTTGCATCAGCGTGCTCGGTCTTGCTTACTTGCTATTTTCAGGTTCGTTCTTGAAATTTGTTGTGCTGTGCTACATGGTTCAACCTATCACGACATTACCATTCTATAGTTAGAAATGCTTCTTCTTCTTCTTCTTCTTCTCATGCATTCTCCTTCAGGTCAATGTTTTTTGACATTTTGCACTCTTGTAATAAGATTATTTAATGATAGGTTTATTTTGCTTTGATCTGTGATCTTGTTCGTTTCTCTATTCGTCCTTGCTTCTTACTTCTTAGTGTAGGCTAAGCAATCAGTTTAAGACATAAACAATACCTGTTCTGTTACTCTTTGGACATTTTGTTCCCACTGCTTGCCAACCTATGGGCTATGGCTGTTTCCCCAACAAGTTAACAAGGCCATCCTCGTGATTACTTATTTTAGAATCTAACGTTAGTATTTTAGTTTTTTCCCCCATGACATTATTTTTGAATCTAACTTTAGGATAAAATATGTTAACTTAGCATGTAATTGTTATTGGTGCTCTAAGGATAATATTATAAAATTAGAAATTGAATTGAATTTTTTCGTTTTAAATTGCATTCCAAACCATAGGATTCAATTAAATTTCATGAATTTTCTAGATTTGTTACAAACAAGAGAGTTTTTTTGGTACCAAAAAAAAAAAAAGGTTTAGAATGAGGGGAGGCTCTCCCCATTTCAAAGCCAGGGCAAACCACTAATCTTAGCGAGGATATATAGTCGCCTACGAATGGGAATTCCTAGACTCGAACCCAAGTTATATAGTTGTGTCATCAGGAGATCTATTTGAAAAGAATTGAATTTAAGAGAGTTTATTAAAAAAAACACTCCCCGTTGAATCCCGAATAGCAAAGGTGGGGTGAGGATGGGAAGGAGAGTTTATTAAATAATATAATAAATTGACTTTAAAAGAATTGAATTGAATCCCTTATGGAATTGCTTCCAAAAAGGTTCTATAAGTGGCCATTTGCATATAGCATTTGAAAAGGATAGTGAAGGAGAATAATGGGAATTCAACGTGAAGGGAGAGAGAGATATGTTAGTATTCATTTTTTTTTGAAGGATAATCATTACTTGCGAAGTTGAAAGCTTATTTCGATGGATGTATCAGTCAATGGAAGATAAGAGAATGGGACATGATGTAATGTGCCAATTAATACCTCATATAAACCACTCCCCGTTAAACTCCGACTAGTAGGGGTGGAGTGAGGGCAATCCTTGTATACAACAATTGCCTTACATATTTGCAAAGATGTTGTTTTTCGGATTCAAATTCGTGACCAATTAATACCTCGTATAGGAACAAAAATTCTTTCATCTCCTTTCCATTCTATATCCACCCAAATATACATATTTTAGTTGTTTTCCCCCTAGATTGAAGCATCCTACCTGAGGAATGATTATCAGTATCACTTTCATTCTTTTCTATTCCTTGATAGGAGGTGATTATATTTTTCTTGTAAGTTAATATTTTCCATAATTATCAAAACAAATATTTAACTGTATCATTCCCTCTGAACTTTTTGCCAATCATATTCATCAAAAGCTGATTATGATCATGAATACTATGCTCGCTGAAAATTGAGGTAGGTACCTGTTCCCATAAACTGTTTCTTAAAATGAATGACTTCAAGTTAAAATTATGGATAATGAAGATTAGTTTATATCTGAGAGATTTTAGGAAATTATGAATTGATTCTTCCTCATTCTTAAAGGAAATTAAGAATAATATATTGTTATATGCTGACATGTGGCCGTACATAAGAGAATCAAGATTATATTTCATCTATTGTATATGGATATAAATTATTTCCTATGTTTGGATATTGAAGACGTCAATATAAATATCCAAATGACCTGCTTATAGCTATTTTGTTTAGGAAAAAACTGTAAGAAGTAGTGTTAGTAAGTTCGTGGTACATTAGGGTGCATCACAAAGGTAGAGAGACGCAGTTATGACACTTTGTATGGTAAGCAACATGATAGGGTTATGCTTAGTTGGAATACTATTTGAGGTTGAAATATGCTTAGGACTCAGGAGCATTTACTGGATTACCTTTGATGCACAACAACTACCAAACCTTGTCCCACTAGGTGGGGTTGCCTACATGGATCAATCGAGTATTGACATCATTGAGCTCTGTCAAAACCAAATCTCAGTAAGACATTAGATCAAGGTCTTTTTTTCTAATGGTTTTTCCTAATTTTTCCAAGGTCTTCCTTTGCCCCCTTTAATCGGATTATCTTTCATTTGACCAACTGTTCTCACTATGCCAGTATTGGTTTTCTTCTCATGTGACCAAACCGTCTAAAGTGGATCTCTTTCTTATTCTCCTTAATAGGCGTTACTCTAACTTTCTCTTGAATATATTTATTCCTAATCTTATATGTTTTTTGTGTGTCCAGTCCACTCATGCACCTCAATTTTCTCATCTTCGCTACACTTATTTTTTGCATTTGCTGGCCTTTCATTGCCCAACATTTACCACCATAGAGCATTGCTTGTCTTATAGTAGTTGGGAGAGTTTTCCTTTGAGTTTAAATTAATAGGGAATTTGCAAGCATAAACTATTGCCTGCAGCATTTCTCTATTTTGTCCACCTATCTTGAATCTTATGTGCGATATCCTTATTAATCTCCCAATAACTATATAAGATGGATCCAAGATGCCTAAATCATGTAACTTATTGTATGATTTGATCCTTAAATTTTACCAATTAAACATTGCTAATTAACAATCTTACTGAACTTACTTCCCATATACTTTGTCTTACTTATATGTAATATAAAACCTTTTGATTCCAAACCTTTTGTTTCTAGGAGTATCTTCAGTATGTATGGATAGGGATTGGTCATTGGTGTGCTCCTTTGAATACATTTGTCCTGTATTTCTTCGTTCTGGTTTAGCTGTTCTGTTAAGGAGGATACTATGTTTCCTTTTCTTTGTCATCTTTCTTTCTTCCCAATAAAATTTCTTCGTTTATAGAAAGAAAAAATATTGAGAAATTTTTTTGCTATAAATACTTACCATTGATTAAAGATTTAATATTCTAAATGTCTTTAGAACAATACAAGGGATATATGCAAGTTGTCATAGACTTAAAATCTATAGGTGAGGTTTATTTGAAACTAGCATCTCGACATGCTTAAAGGATCGTGTCATTCTGTTTTTTTAATTATAAATATAAACAAGAAATAAAAGAGTTCAAAAGAAAAAAGTAGCCCTAATGCAGCACAGGTTTGTACATTGGAGACACCAAAGATACCAAAGCCATGTTATAGTTGATTACTTGATTTCATGTGAACAATAAATAATGAACTACTTGAATGGTTTGTTAATTAAGGGCCTGTTTGGTTAAGCTTTGATTTTTTTTTTATGATATTGCTTTTTTATAGCTTTTTTTTCCCCAGAAGCTATTATTTTTAGCTTCTGAGAAAGCACGACAACAGTTTTTTTAGTTTTTTTTTAATGAAAAAACTTATCTGATTATTATAAAATTTTTAATCATATTTTTTAATTAAAAAAGCATAAACAAACAGGGCCTAAGTATATGTCAGCACAGGTGAAACGTAAAGGATATTGGGTACTTATAATATATAAAAAAGGATATTCTAGAAGACTCGATAAGACTTTTCCATCGGTTAAGCCCTATTGGACTAGCCTTTCTATCTCCCCTGCCGCTGCCCTCTTCCTCTTGATGTAAATCAATACCGGCCGATACTGTGAAGAAAGAAACTATCTTTGGCATTCAGGTCAATATTCTACCTTTCTAGATAATCAATTTGCAAATGTTGTAAAATACATGGGATCACTATTTTTCATGATCCAAACTGTGAAACTTCCTATGATTAGGATTGTGTGACCTAAATCGTGGTTTTGTTAAGGGTATTGAACTCAGAATCACTGGCAAGAATTATGAATGTATTTCTTTTATTCTATTTGTCTGAATCTTTTATTGAAAGCCAAAGAAGAATATTTTGCATAATCTGCTTGGTTAGGAAACTCTTGAGAGGACATCAATGTGTTGTGCGGATTGGTTAAGAGATTAGATGTATGACCCTCAATGTCGTTTCAGAAAATAAATAAACGATAGGATTGCTTACTCTGCATAAGCTGTATTTCTAATTGATTCAGTTTATGAGGACCGTGTATAACTAATATCCCATAAGTGGGAGATTGCTGTTAGTACCTAGCTGAATCTTAATATTGATGACAAATTACAAATTTTGTCTAGTATCAGAAAAGTCTAATTGCTCTCTGTACTAAATATTATCTCTTTAGTGACTTGCTCAAATATGTAATGGCCTTACATAAATTTAGACAAGTAAACACAGTTGCTTGAATAAATGCTAACTATCTTGAGAAGATATATATGATTGCTGACTTTTTGTAGAAGGGGTTGTAATGGTTTGACATAAACGTGTCCATATATAGCGTTATATTATTAGTTCAAATCTCTTTACTACATTCCTTTATCATTGATATGAAATCTTAAGAGGGAATTGAACCTTTTTTTTTTCTGTAATAGTTATAACGTGTGATGTTTTAATGATTTTAAGTGTATGTGGTTGCAGTAATAGATGTTAGACCCTGATACAGAGACCCCTGATTTTTACTGGGATCATGAACTGAAAAACTGTATTCTGGCATTGAAGATATGCATCATGAGTACAAGTGATGACAATTGATTGAGTTCTTGGGTCCTACTGATTTATTTTGATCAACATTTTAGATGCCCCTTTCCTTGATTAGATTACTTGTAAAAAATGAATTAGTGAGTATTGAGTAAGCAAGTATTTTCTCTTAGAGAAGCAGTTAAAACTTTGAAGGTGAAAAGTGGACATGTTTAGTTTTGGACATTGTTTTCTGATGCTAACTTTGTTGTTTGATAAGTAATGTTTCATGCTTCATAACTTAGTATACTGAAGGTCAATCTAGAAATCGGTATTTCATGTAGTGCAAACATCTGATGCCTTCTAGAAAGGAAGCTAAATCTGCTTTGATGACTGTACAAGATACAGCAATAAAACCTAGTTCAAATGCTAGTGCGTTTTCAATACATTTTTTCTTTTGAAACACTAGCTTGTTCTTGGTGCAACTATCTGCCCGCTGCTATGGATTTTCAGTGTTATTGACATGAACTGCCTACTTCTCTTCCAAAGTGAAAAGTTAGCAATTATCTTGTGCTTACAACTTGTGCACATGCATACTGATTACTTTGCTATATATGTGTCTCTTATGTTTCTAATTTTTCTCGCAAATGTATGCTTCTTCAGTCTTCCTACTAATTTTCAAGAATGAGGATTACTAAGGAAGAATCATCAAGCAGTGCTGCACAGGCAAGTATCCACCACTTAAATAAAACTTGGATCCACGAGACTCTCTTGTTACACTTCTCAGTGGATAGAGCATGAATAATTTTTATTTATTTGCTTGAACAGGCAATAGGCTTGATATCAACAGTGAAGGAATTGCATGGGGTTACCTCTTTGGATCTTAATAAATTATTGAGGGACTCTGAAAATTTTACTATTCACTTCCTTACCCAAAAAGGATCATTGTTGAAGGTTGTCTCATACTCAGCATCATAATGTTATTTTGTATTTTGTTTTATCAGACTGTTATTTCTAATTGTGTTGTGTACAGATTGATATGGAAAAGCTTGCAGGATCTCTTCCATTGCACCTTACTGCAGTGCTAATGTCATCTGATAGAGATGAAGCCATGTTCAGATACTTGTTATATGGCATTCGTCTCTTGCATTCCTTGTGCGATTTAGCCTCCCGAAATTCTAAGTTTGAGCAGGTTAATACTAGTAATGCTTATTAACATTTATCATATTTTGCTTCTCTTGTGGTTTTGTGTTTGTTTTCTTGTGCGGCAAAGACATGTTATCAAGATGTTGAAGAATGATATTAATTAAAATTCCTCTAAAGTTTGAACAGCATTTATGGTGTGCTAAATAATGCTTTGCTGGTCTGCAATTGACTCTGTGTAGTTGGGACACCCTATCTTTAGATATAAAGCAGGGAGTAAACTCAGTGGTAAATTTGGTGGTCTATCATCTATATTCTAAATTCTAAAAATTAAGGCACGAGGGAGGTACCTAATTTTTTTTCTGGATGTAGTCTTCTTTTTTTATTCCATTTATTTCTTTACAATGTGGTCATATTTTAGCAAAGGAAGACAAACGTTGTAGAGTTTTGTAAAAGTTATATTCACAATCCTGTAGGTTTTGCATGTTTACAGAAAAATAAACTGTTGTGGTGTCCTATGGATATTTATTTGCAAATTAAAAAAACACTTTTGATTCCGATTTCTTTGGAATATGATTACAGATTTTGCTGGATGATGTGAAAGTGATGGAACAGCTGATTGACTTGGTTTTCTACATGCTAATTGTTCTTGGTGGTTATAGACAGGTTTTTCTCAGCCCTGTTCTTTACAGTTTGATATTCTGTATTGTATATGTCTATTGAGATTCGCACTCATGTTGCAGGAAGACCATGGTTTTAGTCATATGCACCTTGTGCATTCAACTCTTGTAGCATGCAATTTGTATCTACTAACAGGGTTTATATCAACACAATGGCAAGATATTGTTCATGTATTGCTTGCGCACCCCAAGGTTTGTTCACCTACACCCTAAGATTTAGATGCTGGATTCAAAAACAGTTTTCTGTTAGTGTCCATTGGTTGTTACTATAACTGGTAAAAAGAATGCTTTTTGTAATGTCACAACTATTTAAAATCTTTTTTCTTAACTTGTGTCAAACTGATATTCTTATTTTTTCCCAACACTTTGAAAAAAGGAATTTTTGGTGTCAGAAAATGATTTTCACCCCAAAAGGATATGAAACTAATTTAAGTTGCATTTTTTTCAATCGACTAGTTGCATGCATCTAGAACTTTTTCTTTTCAGACAGATCATTTCTATTTTACATATAATCCCTATGATGAACCAACTATCTGTAAAAGCTTAAGCTATTAGGTGAAAGTACTTGAATGGTTTAATTACATCTAAGCACATACGTCTCTTAACAATCTCTATTTCTCGTGACATTTTCTATAAGTTAATGTTATTTTTTTATTATACAATTATTCTTTTGCTAACCGTGAATTCTATGACAGGTTGACATATTTATTGATGCAGCTTTTGGATCAGTTCGCATGGTTGTTAGGTGTCTTGACAATGCAGTGGTAGCTTATTACAAAGATATTTCCATGGAATCAAATCTGACAGCTGAAAGAGTAGTTTATTATCTCTGCCAGCAGTGTGAAGCTTCTCTGCAGTTTCTTCAGTCACTATGTCAACAGAAATTGTTTAAGGAGCGTCTGCTTAAGAATAAGGTTTCCAAACTAAACTTACTTTATAAATTTGGAGCAACACATCAAGAGGTGACTGTGTCCCTAAATTTATCTAAGAGGGAATCTGATAAGAACTCAACTCCAAAATCAATTAAAAATAACAGAACACAAGATTTTGTCCTGGAAACCCAAATTTTTGGATATATGTATTAACAAAAGAACGATTACAACTGATGGAAATTGATCTACAGCTAAAGGGAAATTACAGAAATCCAAATGACTTGAAAGAAAGGATAAAATGAACATAACAGTGAGTGAAGCAATTCGAGAGGCCTCATACTCTCCCAAGGGTCCCAATTCCAAAACATATCCAAGATACCCTCACACACTTCACATTCCCATCTTATACTAAGCCTAACCTCCTAGAATATTCTATTCTCCCTCCAAAAGTTAGTTATGCCACCTCATTGGTAGAACATAATCCCCTACTACCCACCTTATGTACACCTTCATGAGTATATTCCTATCAGAATCCTTCTAAAGTTTGATTGGCGATGAGGACTTTATGGAAGCCTGGTTGCATCCTTTGTCTCTCTATCTGTCCAAATATAAGTTATTAAAAATTGGATAGCTCCATAAATAATTTACACCAAATTCATTCTCAAGTCAAACTGATGTAAACATACTTTTTCTCAAGAAAGGAAGTAATCACATGTTTATATCTCTTTACTCTCCTTCAAGACCATCCTTTTTCTCTCACTGTTAATGGTCAAACATCCAAAAATGAAGTAGCATCTCAATTTTGGCCTTATTGACACTCTGTGGTGCTTGGCACATGGTTACCTTTCTAAGATAGATTTACAGAGGGACTAGAGAGCTCTTTTGTTATTAATGGTTTTGTTTGTTTCTGTTGGTTATTGGTTTTCCTATTAATTTTTCTAAGAAGGATTCCCTATCCTTTTTGCTCTGTGTATCACTTCTTTCCTTCTAATTTTTTTTTTTCACCAAACAAAATATTGTGAGATCTTCTCAACTATCTGAGCAGAGTTACCTTTCTCTAGCATCACAACTAAATTCTTTTTTGAAGCGGCTCTAGATGCTCAACCATGAGCTGTTCTTTGTTTGATGGTGTGCCCACTTGATGCCTCTGGTGAGAATATTAGCATAGCTTTCTAAAACGAAATTTTCTTATGTGCTTTTTTATGGGCTTATTTGTGAATAGACTTTATATCATATTCTTCATTTTTTTTGTCAGACTTACACTGTTACACATGTAATCTCCTTTTGTGATTAATTAAGTTGAACATAATTTGAAGATCCTATGGACAAGAAGCTTTCTTAGAAAGGTCATAATTGAGGATTCTGGTTTAATATTTTTGATTTAAAAATTCTAATGCTATACAAACATTAATGTCCTTATTTCCATATGTAAGATGGATTAACACCCACTCTTTTATACCCATATTTATGTGAAAAAAGTGTACCTTATCATTCTCTCTTCTACTTGAATACTTTAAGTTTGAGAACTCTTCCATAAAATGCTTTGTATTCCATATTCTGAGTTCTTGTATTGTTTTTGTTACCCTGTTTCAAAGTTGACCAATCTACTAACTCCAAGCTAATGTGTTGCATCAGATAAGATAGATACAGTTACTGAAATAAGTTGGAGTTTAAGGTGCCAGAGACTCCATATGACAAACTGGCTACTTGCAACCTAGCCACCACAGAAGATGCTTAATATTATTGCATTAATTTGGTTGATGGATAGGACGAATGTGCTTTATACATACATATAACTGCATCAGTTCATGTATTTTTCATTTACTTACAGGAATTATGTGGAAAGGGGAGCATTCTTTTTCTTGCTCAATCCGTCTTGAAATTACACATTCAACCATCTTTTTCAACTAGGATCATGGCGGCTATATCTAGGCTAAAAGCTAAAATACTATCTATTGTGAGTCCAACGGAAACATTTGCTATAAATCCCTGCTTTTAGCTTTATTCTACTTTATAATTTATGCATATTATTAACAGTACAGTCACTGCTTTCTTTACTCAGCTGCTGAGTTTGTGTGAAGCAGAAAGCATGTCTTATCTTGATGAAGTAGCCAGCTCAACACGAAGTTTAGATTTGGCTAAATCTGTTGCATTAGAGGTTAGTTTTCAATTGTTGGCTTATAATGCATACTGTTGAAGATAAAGGGTGTTTTAGTGGGATTTTGCTGATAATTGGCTTGTGAAAATTTTTGCCTGAAAATTACCTTATTAACTTTTTCTGCCACTCCTATCAGTTCACTATTATCTGTGGGTATGTTACTTATCAACTGGGATTGGATTTCTGAGTTTTAAACATATAATACGGATTGTTGAGTAGAAGTGTAAGTTCTTCAGGAAATCTTTAAATTGGCATTGTTCCATGGTGGTCTGCAGTATGCATTCACGTCATGTCTTTATTAATTTGATCTTGCTTTTAATATATTTCTTGTGATGTAGGTATTTGACTTGTTGAAGAAAGCCTTTGGAAGAGACCCTGGGCATCTCACTGCTGACAGAAGTCACCCAATGGGGTTTGTACAGCTCAATGCAATGCGTTTAGCTGACATCTTCTCAGATGATTCAAACTTTAGATCTTACATGATACTTTGTTTTGTAAGTCTTTTTTTTTTTTAAAGATTATAGAGTTAACTTGCTTTAGTATTATACTGTTATTGATTTCATATTCAATGTGCCATAAAAAAATTTTAGGTGATAGTAACATCATTCTCTCACTGTGTGTGTGTAAAATTACACTAAATTTAATTCAAAAGAAGTGCTAAAATCTTAAAGTTATTCACTTTTTGGGAATTTGACTGTTTCCTTTGCATGTGATTCCAGACTAAAGTTCTGACAGCAATAATTTCACTCACTCATGGAGATTTTTTATCCTGTTGGTGTTCGTCTAATCTCCCAGAGACAGAGGAGGATGCAAGTCTTGAATATGATATATTTGCTGCAGTTGGATGGATTTTGGATAATACTTCACCGGATGTGCGGAATGCCGCAAATTTGGAATTCAATCTGATTCCTAACAGCATGCCTAGGGCTTCTTATGCACATCATAGGACGTCATTATTTGTCAAGTTCTTTGCAAATCTTCATTGTTTTGTTCCCAACATATGTGAAGGTTGGTTCATTGTCAACATTCTGTACATTTTTAGGCTAAATTTGATTGTTTTACAGATATATATATTTCCTCATATCATTTATCCTTTTTTTCCCCTGTAATTTTAATCCCCAGAACAGGAGAGGAATCTTTTTGTTCTCAAGGTCTTGGAGTGCTTGCAAATCGATCTATCTAACTTGCTGCCTGGGTTTTCTTTTGCTTCTGATGCTCCTAAAGCTGCCACTGCTACCAAGAACCTCCGTAATGATTGTTTTCAAATACTTATTTTTGTGGAATTACAAGCAATATACGGTTACTTCCTTACAACCAACCTCCTTTTGTAGGCTCATTGTTAAGTCATGCAGAATCTTTGATTCCAAACTTCTTAAATGTGGAGGATGTGCAACTTTTAAGGTAATGTTTTTCTCTCTTAAATTTTGTTGTAGAACTTGACACTTCGACTTTAGCATGACTGATTTTGAACTGTTGTTTCAGCGGTTAATCATGTATCAGTCATATATATATATATATATATATATATATATATATATATTGTGCAAGAGCATTATGGCATCAATGGCAGCTTCTTGACCAAACATTAAAAGGAAATTTTGACAATATAATAGAAATATTTACTAGCCATTTTTTTCTAATATCTATGCTACGAATAGAATTTTTAATAAAATTTGGTTTTATACTAATCTCAATGAATGTGTTTTTTTTATCTCTTTCTGTTGACTTTTTTCTCTGCCATCTTCCTCTTTATTCCCCCTGGGCTCCACTTCAACTCCCTGGTTAAGCATATAGCTCCCGAAAATCCTGCTTTATACTATCATCAGCGTCATCTTAAAACAAACAACTTCTATTTGTACATGGTTTGCAGGGTGTTTTTTGGCGAATTACAATCACTAATTACTTCTACGGGATTTGAGAAAAATCGTGTTCAAGTAAATCTTTGTCCTTTAGTTTGAGCTGTTAATATTGTTTTTTGGTGATTTATTTCTTTTTCTCCTCTACTCATATGTCTTTAATTTGTGTACAAATGTGCCAATATCATTCTGCTGGAAAAACTCAGGATAGCAAATTTGAGGAGTCATTATCTTGGGCTAAGCTTTCTAAACTCAACATCAATGAATGTTATCAGGTATTTGCAAGGGCTTTTGTTTTTGACTAACACATTTATTGATCACGTTGTACAGCTACATGTTTGTTCAAATTGTTATGAGCGCTAGTGTGCCAATAGATATGTAATTAAAATTATTCCTATTTTAGAACTAGAAAATGCCTTTAACTGTTAAATAACAAAATAAACCAATTCTCAAATTGGGTTATTTGGTTACTATGTAGCTTGTCCTTAACATAGTGACTTGAAAAGTAAAGTTTGATTTCCTGTAGGAGGCTCAGAGTGCGGGGGGATGCCCATCACCTTTAACTGGAAAAGAATCTGCTGATCTTAACAAGAAGGGTGGTAACTTCAAGGAAGGAATGTCTGAGAGTTCTGCATTTCCAGACATGGACCAACATAATACCAGAGCTGAAGACACAAATCCAGGCAATGGCCTGAATAAGCAAGATCAGGTAGAAGATAAAGGAATATCTGGTAAAACTGCATCAGGAGGAGCAAGAGATACAGACAAGGATGCTCAGAATGTTGAAACGAGTGGTTCAGATACTAGTTCTGCAAAAGGAAAGAATGTTGTTGATCATATGGATAACGGCGAGCTTTCAAAATCAAATGAGCATATTAGAAAAGTTGTAGTTGAAGAAAATGCAGAGGATGAAAAGATTGAACTTGCACAGAGGAGAAAAAGAAAGCGAACTATAATGAATGATAAACAAGTGACACTGATTGAGAGGGCACTCTTGGATGAGCCTGATATGCAGCGAAATGCAGCTTCACTTCAATCATGGGCTGATAAATTGAGTTTTCATGTATGTGAAATGCAACTCAACTCTTGAGTAATATTTCATTGACATATTTTCCTGAGACTTTCTGCATTTTGTTTTTCAGGGTTCTGAGGTTACATCTTCACAGCTTAAAAATTGGTATGCCTAATTTTACATGCATACTCCTTTTTAGGAATGCAGGATCCATAGCACGACCTTTTTGTCCATATAGGATGATTTAGTAGAACATCTAGTATCAAGTTGTATATCAAGGTTTCTTTACCAAAATTTACTTAATCTTGTTTATATTTTGTATGAAGCTGAATATTACTAGGTATGGATCTTATTTCTCATGTATCTTCTAATTTTATTTAACAATGTTTGGTGTCAAGAAATATTATGCAACTCGTGGACATTGACATATTTCTTGGTCTTGAAGCCTGCAACATATTAAGCAATTGCCCATGTACATTATAGCTAGGTCAATTTATTTTTATCCGGCTTGATTTGCTGTGGAATTTCATGTTTGTCTTATCAGGTTGAATAATCGAAAAGCTAGGCTAGCTCGCACAGCTAGGGATGTTCGAGCAGCAGCTGATGTTGACAATCCAGTCCCAGACAAGCAAAGAGGACCGGTAATTGGGTCCTATGACTCACCTGACAGTCCAGGTGATGCATCACATGCAAAAAAAGACCTTTTTAGTTTCGCTGCAGGGCATAAACCTGAGCCTTCACTGGCTGGATTTGTTAATGTTGGTTCTCCAGAATTTGGTCATTGCCATGCAGGTCAATATGTTGTGCTTGTAGGTGGGCGAGGAGAGGAGATTGGCAAAGGAAAGGTATTTCAGGTGCATGGTAAGTGGTATGGGAAGAGCTTGGACGAATTAGCAACCTGTCTTGTGGATGTTTATGAGCTTAAGGTTGATAATGGGTTACGGCTACCCTACCCTTCAGAAGCCACTGGCACCTCATTTGCAGAGGCTGAAACAAAGTTAGGTGTCATGAGAGTATTATGGGATTTGAACAGAGTATATGTGTTGCGGTCTGAATGAATTCAATGATGCTTCGGTGGCTGCAGCTATTCCTTTGCTTCCTGCTGCAATCTGTTATAAATCTTTCTTGCTTGCGGTTTTCCCTGTATGTACATGTCTTCTATTCCCATAAACAGTAATTGAAGGGATAGCTGAGAAGAACAAAGATAACGAATAGAAAGAGTCCAGGTTGTTTACGAAGGGACTATAGAAAGTAGAAGAGGACAGTTATGGAGAAAGCAAGGGCGATTCAACAATGAAAGATAGATTAGGATATCAGCCACAGCCGGCGGAAAAAAATGGTTAGTAGGGTCTTATACAGAACATGCTTCTCAGAATTTTCCCAGCAACTGACTATGCAGAAACTATGTAGGGCGTGATATAATCTGGAATTATATGATTTTCCATACTCAGATATTGAGAATAAACTAGTTGTCCGATGCACCCCGTAACCCACCCCCCCAAAAAAAGGGCAAGAGAGTTGAATTTAATTTGAAGGAAAACAGGGGACGTAAATTCTATTAGGATTAATATTGGCAAACATCGCTCATTTCATGTTAAGAGTAATAACTTAAATAATAAAATTTCAACTATGTGATTGTTTATGTTTGGATTAGTTATGAAAATGATAATGTTTAACATTATGCACAAAGTTGATTTTCAAGAAACTCAATTATGAGAAAATTATTTGTGTAGATTTTATAAAAATTTCTTTTCTATCCTAAATTATAAAGAGTTATAATGATGTACAAGGTTATATTTATCACCGTTTTAGAATAGTTATGTTAATGGAGAAAGAAATATTTATTTTCAACTTATAAAATAATCTAGAATCAGTAACAGAAATGTTAAAATTCTAACTTTTAGAGAAACAACTGTTTAATGAAAAATAAATAATTTTTTATGCTTCAACCTTAAAATGTTTGCATTTGAAGACTAAAAAGCTTGATTTGAATAAAAGGAGCATTCTTAAAATAATGGGTTCACTTTTTCTGCAGTTACTGCAGATAAATTATCTGCAGTAAGCCTAATACGACATCGTTTTGAGACAGAAATTATGATATTTTTATAATTTTAATTTATTTTAGGGTTATTATAGTCTTTATAATTATAATTTTTTAATATTTCAATTCCAAAATAACGTTGTTTTGAGAGTAAATACAGATAACTTATTTACATTATTGCAGATCAAAAACAATCGTGCTCTTAGTTTGCAAGATGTTTATTTGATACAGGCAATTATCGACTGAATGCTCCGTTTTCCTGCCCCTGAATTCGTTATTTAATTCCTCCTAGCATCGTATTTAAGAATGCAACGTAAAGTTCTTGCAGTTCTGCCGATGGGAAAAATCTCTGATTGAGAAATATGTAAGGGCCTAAAGATTTGGTGGGGAAAAAAATTGAAGGATGTTAAATGTATGAATCTAACAGAAACTGACAGACAGAAATTATGCCATTTTAAATGTGGCGTGAACTTAAAAATACAAAATATTTTGATGTGTAGAGCACGACATCATTTGTTAAAAAAAAGTAACATGTCTGATTACCCACGCAAGCCATTGAAGTAGCTATGTTGCATTTGGGATGCCCCACTTCAAAGACGTGCCAGTTCAAACCGAAATATCTACCTATAAAATTTCTTGGAACCCAAAACAAATTTAGGCAAATTATCACAAATACATTACCCCACAATTATTTTTATTTTAAAAAAAAAAGGAAATTAACGAGTCTCTATCGTTAACATTATGGTACATTAATTTTCGCAAATCAAATTAATTAAATTTTTTTTCATGATAGTATTTTCCTGCAACAAAAACCGGTCAGTGCATGGTGCATGCAGTATGAAATTGCGAATCGTAGTTCCCTTCTGTTAAACGTACAACCTATGCCTGTTATAATTTTGCATAGCATGATCATAGATTATACCATCATAAAATAAATTGCCAAATATGGTATTAAGTGAATGATGGGCCCAGTAAATTACCACAAACCTTCCATCTTTCCCTCCATATTTCTGGAAAACTGAACAAAGAAACAACTTTGCCTGAGCAAAAGCATTGCACAATTTCAATCTATAAACATCTTTTGGCCTTAGTCAGTCTATAAATGATCTCCCCTAAGAAAAAAATGTGGGGTTAACATCCTTTAATGTTCTCTGTTGTTATGATGGTGATACCAAAATACAAGAATCTAGCTGCAGTCGGTGCTGTCTGGATTTAAGTCAAACCACTTCTGTATAATGAACCATCCATGATCTTTAAATATTGAATGTGCAGCTCAGAACTTAAAACTGAAGCTACCCCACCACTTCAGACATTACCAGGTGTCATGTCAGTAAAATTTACCTCCATCTCAGTCACGGGTTGTCCTTCAAATTATTTGAACCCTCATTTTGAACAAGTGCTACAGAGGAGGTTGTCTTTTGAGGTGCTTTCCTCGAGAAGCTTTTTGCATAAAGGGAGCCAAATACAATGACCTGATAATGTACTTGTGTCACAATGCTTACCACAAAATTCATCAAGTAAATGATTGGATCACACATCTAAAGTGTAAGATTTGATCCATCATCTACTAGGTTCAAAATAAATGCAAGTAAGGATAAAGAAAGAGTGTGATTTAAGGGTGCAAGTGTAGCATGACTCAATTCATTAAAATGTTAAAGGGCAATTCATTAAAATGTTAAAGGGTAAAGTGAGTCTTACGGCTCCAATCCACTGTTCCCAGCTAAGAGGATGGGCAAACCACACACATGACAGCATAATGCTCACCAACTGAAGAATTAGAATAAAAAATGACAAACATTGAAAAAAAATACATTATTGTAGGGAAAGTGAAAACTAGATTTCTCTATGCAAGTTACCTGTCTTGTGGTCATTATGGTAGCAAATGTCAGAGCACCAAAAGTGCGAATTGTGTAGGAAATAAAAAACTGACTAATTGTTGCAACCTGTGTAACCCAATAATATAAATTCTTCAGTCAAATGGAAGATGAAGAAAAGGGGGAATGCTTTTGTTTTTGCTATTGTATTAGGGATTGCTATAGATTTAAAAAAATCTCTTCAAACAAACAGTAAAAAAAAATGCATTACAAAATTTAAAACAGATGGATGAAGTTTGCTTACAGTCGAAAGCAATACTATGTCAAAGAAACAATCATGATGGCGATAAACAAACTCTACCGCTGGCAATAAATGTCCTTGTAAGATAAGACCTAACAAAAAAAATAAAATGTCAAAATAATGGATTTCAAACCATGAAGCTGGAAAAGAAACAGAACTGAACCTAAAAGAACTGAAGAATGGAAAAATATAAGAGAACTCGCATTCCAGAAAAAGAAAAATTACTATCCAAATTAAGTCTAGAGAAAGGTTTTGGCCAACTCAGACTATTGGCTGTCAAGATAGTTTATACTCGTTTTGAAGTTGGGAGTCTTTGGTGAACTGCGAGCAGATTAAAAAAAGAGAAAGCAAGGCCTAAAAAACAAAAGAAATACCAACGCAAAAGTTCCCATTTTAAATGCTTGAGGGTCAAATGTTGTATTAAATAATCTTATATAGAACTCTTCAGGTGAAAGTATTATATTTTCCAAACAACATCCAAGACTTAATAGGAAATTTTATCCATCATAAATCTTTGTCCTTAAGTACCCCAGCAAACAAATCTTCATTACATTACCCGACAAGATATGTATGACAAAGTATAATGTTCAACATAGCATTCCACTGTGACTGTCTGAAACCTACCTGTCACGCTAAGAATACAAGAACACAATGTAGTATAAAATATCTGATTATGTATCTCCATGTCATAGCCTTTAAACAGCTTATCTTGGAACGTGCTTGTAAAGCCATCAAACCTATAATAACACAAAAAAAAAATCAGAATCTGATCAATGAGAGACTTGTATGTGAATCACTTTCGAAGATAAATTCTTAAAAAAAAGTTGATAAAGCATAAAATTAGTAATGCAGTGCACCTATAAATAAGCATGCATTTAAGAGTCTAAAAATAAGTAAACAATGCAAAGTTTTTTAAAATAAAGTCTTAACTGTATAATGTAGCTTGAAATAAACAGCACAGCTCAAACCAACAAAAAACAGTTCACATTGATTATATTGTTGCCCATAATAATTCTGAACTTCTAAATTGGAAAAAATAAAAATTATATGTAGGGAATTATTCAAGCTTTTAGGTAGGCTAGGCACTTTTTTTCCCCAACAATGAGAACAGTTGAACAAATAAAATACCTTCCTTGTCACAATGAGTAAAGGTAGCAATGAATTTTGGACTTTTTTGTCCCAATATAATACATAAAATCACTCATCAGGAAGAGATATTAAGTTCTGTAGCGATACCCAAGATAGCCAAGCATTAGGAGAACACCCCAAACTGTATTTTCTCTTCCTCTACTGTACGGACTTAAGTCAGTTCCTGCCTACAATAAAAACACAAGAATTACATTAGCTTATTACAGAATGATGCCAGCTTATTGAGGTGATTGTGTATTGAGGTGATTGTGTATCAGCATGAGCCAGCTTATTGAGGTGATTGTGTATCAGCAACTGCATGATCAATAAAGAGTAAAAGGTACTATTTCTTATATCATGCTTGCTAAACGGAACATGAGCCAGAAAACATTTGTCAACAAAGGCAATCTATCAGTTGCTATAAGCATATAATCTGGTAAGAATTGCAATCCGAAATATCAATATCAACTCTGCAGTTAATTACTCAATTGTTCAAAAGAGTATACTCTATCTATATCGCCTCTCTCCCTTTGGGTCATTGTTACATATCAAGATACCAAAGCAATGTATAGACATATAATTGTCAGATGTAAATGTCAAATTTCACCCTCAAAATAAGCGAAAATTTGACTCCCTCAAAATTTTCTTGTTTCTGACATTAAACTACCAAACACAATTGATTTCATGAAATTTTCTCCATTAAAAACTTAGCCTTTATTACCCCCACTTACTAAACATGGCATAATTATAGTACATTTTGTGAAGGGCTGAAGGTGAACCATGCTTTATTTGTTTTGGTATATTTAAGTAGATACCAATGCCAAAAATCTTATTGGTCAGTTTAGAACTTCCAGCTCTTTGGGACAAAATAGTGCATATAGCCTTCTTAAGAGTGTTTCTACACTGATTCCAGATGATTCAAGAGCCTTGTTATTTTCTTTTAGTTCTGTCTAAAGGATAATAGCATCCTGGTTCGTGCAACTTCCTAATCATGTCGTCAACAAAACCCCTCTTTTACTACCAAAAGAAATAACGGTACCACCCATTGTCAGTTATTTGGTAGAATACAATCACATACAGACAGAATGATGATAAACAAGTAGAAAATTATTAGGATTAAAGACCCAATAATTACCGGATATAGGATAAATACTGAGCAGCCAAGGGTAACTAAAAAAGCCAACAAATAGTCAGGTCCCTGATATCTCTTCTGCATTATGAGGGCACCCCAGACCTGTATAACATACAAAAGAAGTTATAAGATTCAAGGTGCAAGACTAGCAAAAGATATCAATCAATCTTAACTAAAAAATAAAGAAGAAATGAGATTCATGGAATCAAGAACAAAATTTTACATAGGATGGAAGAAAAACAAATAAGGGGTAGCATTTGCTCAGAAGAAAAGTAGAAAACCTAGACAGACTCCACTAGGTAGAAACTCTGCTACTCTAGTCTAGAATTTAAGGAAAGTCCATTGAATAAATATTAAAACCAAAATTATACCTCGTTCTACACATAACATGCCCTTTTACATTCATAACCAACGTGGCTGACAAGTAAAAATCCTCAAGAACTTTCAAACCCGTATAGTTTCCTCTTAGCTTCATTATAATTTCCACATAGCTCCATGCCTCTCTGAATTCTCTCTTTCATGGAGAGAAAGCATCAACTTTAAAATCATTTAATTAATCATTTTCATGGATCACATTTTAAACCCCACAGTAGAATCTAGAGTATACATGATTCTTGCTTGTCATGACCAGTTTATTATTGTGAAAATGCAAAGATTCCAAATTTTCCTTCCTTCCCCCCCTGATTTACGCTACGGCAGGATAAAGGTGTGAGAGAGAGAGAGAGTCGGGTCAAGTATTAGATCAATTTGAAAAGTATGTTCAACCAAAATTTTCAAGAGGGGTAAATAATAAAATTCTACCATCTACTTTACATTTTTTAGTCTTCTTGGATATGTCCCCATCTGAGTAAAGAAAAGGGGCCACTAGTAATGGCAATTGAACTTCATTGTGGGTGGGAGGGGAGAAGACAGAGAGGAAAAGAGCATGAAAATTCAATGTTGAACAACAACACAAAGCAATTATTACTATTCTTCATCAACAAAAGCAGCGGTGACTGAGAAGGTTAAAAATAAGCTACAAATAAACAATACAAGACAAATACCAGAGACAAGATAATATAATGAATAAAGAAATCAGCCAAGCATTCCAGAAAAATCAACATAAGAAAATTTTATACATTGGGTACAGTATTAAAATTTGACATACCATAACTGGTATCATTTTCGCACACTTTGCAAGAGTCTGAACAGGAAAACTGACATATTTGAGGGCCTGGAGTAAGAAATATGGCCATTCCATTAAATATAGTTGTTAACTTAAAACCATTAATATTAGCGACTTCTTATGAAGTTACAAACACACAGAAAGTGCGAAGCTTACCTCGTACTGACAAGTTGTGGTTAGTATGTTTGATACTGAGACAAGGCAATACTTATAAATGGGAGCTACTGGGTTCATCGTTTTTTTACTTGCCTATAAGAAAGGTTGAAAATTATGAAGAACAAAACTAGTCAAAAGAAAGACACAAAACAATTCAAAAACTGCAAAATGTGTCAAAGTTACACATGCACATGACAGTATTTTTGCATATAACATCTACTTACCAGCAAAGAAGCAGCAGAAACAGCTGATGTTGTGATGCGGTTGCAGAAGACAAGAAAGAGAGAATACTTGAAATACTCCTTTTCTGCCCCATATGGTATTCTCATGATCTTTTCCTGCAATCAACGAATATCTATAAGTCACTGGATAGATGTTGGACCCTGAGAGGGCTTTGATACTATCCACTCAAAAAATTAAAAATATAAAAAATCTTAGTCTAATTTGTAGGGACATGTTCATACTATGTATGTAAAATGTAAATTATACAGTTAAATAAGCATCAAATTACTACTAAGTAAGAGTACTTCAACCAAGAGTATTACCAACCCGTTAATGTTTGTTGCTTATGCTACTCTCTCTCTCTCTCTTAACAATACCAAACCTTAAATAACAGATTGCCCATGGTTCTTTTTTTTTTTTTTTTTTCAAACAGATATAGTTAACGTTAATTAGACCCAGAGAAGGGAATATCCTAAAACGGAAGAGGCCTCTCATTTTAAGACGAAACCTTTAAAGATCACAAATTTCACTCGGTTTTGAACTACCTCATTGCCACCCAAAATCTACATTTGTATGAAAATATAATAACAACAACAATAATAATCGGGTTGAAAGAGAAAAAATATTCAGTAAAATATTTTTTTTTATCAGGATAAGGAGATCCTAGTGTTCTAGCCTGTGATAGATGAAGAGATGCAAGTAAATCAATGAAGAAGAAAAAACAGAGAAAAAAAAATTGATGGGAAAACCTGCAAGACGCCATAGGTAACGAGAGTAACCATGATTCCAGAGACCGCGAATGCCCCTTTCCAAAACTTGTTGTCTCTGGAATCAACTGAAAGAGAAGAGGTGGATGATTCCGCCATAGCACAAGTAGGACACAAACATAGAATGTAGGAAACGGCGTCGTATTAGTATTGGGGGCGAGTAGTGACTGTGGGACCCTAAGCTTGAGGATCAAACACACCGAACATGGAACTTTTGAAGTGTAGATGTTGGTGAGAGAGAGAGATGGAAGTTAACTCTTAACCTCAGACTCAGAGTGAAACATAGTTTTGTGTTCTGTTAGGAGTTAGGACTCATGGCATGCGACACGCTTTGTCCGGCGTTGTATCCTGCGAGATAAAGAAAAGAGGAAAGGAATTGGTCTGCCATGTCAGCATTCAGCATTCTAACACCAACACCAATATGTTACCGTACTTCGGATTTGCAATCTTCTGTTTCCTTTTTTTTTTTTTTTTTGGAAACAAATCTTCTTTTCCTTTGTTTGCTTATGTGATGAATTCAAAATCAAAAAGCCCTTTTTATTTGGTCTGGTCAACCCTTTCTATTTTAACCAATTAGATTTCAATCAAACCATTCTACCTTTTTCTTTGGTCAAGGCCCAATTGGATTTGGATCCATTTTACTCTCACAATGAGACTTCAAGAATCCAAATGGAGCAAAAACCAATGTCCTTCCATGATTGCGCATGTCATAAAATAAGAATTTTTTTTCCTTCTTATATAAGAAACCATCAAGAACTGATGTGGCAACAGTTTGCTGCATTTTAATAAGGGGAAATATTTTCTCAAGAATTTTTTTCTTCACTCTTTGATTTTTATGTGATATTTTCTTTGATTTTTTTAATAGATGTGGGCCTCGTACAAGATGTTGATGAGAAATTTTTTTCCTATTATATAAGAAAATTAAAATCCTTTTAATATTTAAAGAAAATTAAGGTGTTTTGCCCATATCATACATTCACATACATTTTTTTTTACAGATTCTTTGGTACCAATGAGTTTATATATATATATATATATATATATATATATATATATATATATATATATATAGGGATAGGTTATTGTGCCTACTCCTATTTTACCTACTTTTGCCTACCTCTTTCGTTACCGTTCGATTACCATCTCATCCAATGATCTATATTTGTGATATAAAATAAACCTTTTTTTTTCCCTTTTTTTTTCTTTTCACTTTCTTCCATACCTTTTCTCTCTCCTCCCCTTTCTCTCTTCCTCTGCCATATACCTAATTTTTTTCCCTTCTGCCGTCGTGGACCTCAATCTCCTGACAAATTGTTCGATTCTAATGATATTTTTAATCCTTATAAATTAATACGATTGAATCGATGACTAACAAAGAAGTTTTGATGTGATTCAAAGCGGTGGTGCCACTAGGTCGATCTGTTCACAGAATCCTCCTTGTCTCTGCTTCAATATGTCGATCTGTTCTTCCACATGATAGATACTCTTAATTTCTAATAATTAATTGGCTATCCGTATCAACATAATTGCTGGAATGGCACCAATTAACCCTCTTTCCAGATTTTTCCAATATCAATTTTTTTTATTCTTTAATTTTTTTATTTATTTTGAATTTTTTCCAACTCTGCACAGATCTTTTGAATCACATTAAAACTTCTTTGTTAGTCATCGATTCAATCTTATTAATTTATAAAATTTATGTTGTTCTTCAGATCTAAAAACTTGTTGTGATTTTTCAATCCATTGACACTGGTAATTTGATAGAAACTGATTCAGAAGGAGAAAATTTATATTACAATAATAAAAACAGAGACTAATGTATATTGACGATGATTTCAAATGCTGTGGTAATTGATTTCAAATGCTTCTGCGCCGTTCACCTGAGCAGAGATTAACGATAAAGGAAAAAAATAGGTATATGGCAGAGGAAGAGAGAAAGGGGAGGAGAGAGAAAGGGTATGGGAGAAAGTGAGAAGAAAGAAAGGAAAAAAAAAGGTTTATTTTATATCACAAATATGGATCGTTGGATGAGATGGTAATCGAACGGTAACGAAAGGGGTATGCAAAAGTAGGTAAAATAGGAGTAGGCACAATAACCTATCCCATATATATATATAGGAGGAGGGGTTATATTTACAACCCAAATAGTTTACAAACTCTTACAACCATATCTTAACCGTTGATTTTCGCCAATCAACGGTTGTCATTTATTGTGAATTAATAATTAATTAATAAATTTGATTTGCGAAATTAATGCAGTTAATGCAGATAAATTATTTGCATTGAACCCAAAATGACGTCGTTTTGGGGAAGAAATCAAAGTATTTTTGTAATTTTAATTTATTTCAGGGTTATAGTAGTCTTTATAATTATAAATTTTTAATATTTCAACACCAAAACGATGTCGTTTTGGGAATAAATGCATAACTGTAGAAATATTTTCCTGATATATATATATATATATATATATATATATATATATATATATATATATATATATGGTCTTTTGACACCATTGTCAAATTTTAAAATTTGATACCAAATCTTAACCATTTATTTCCGCCAATCAAATTCATTAATTAATTATTAATTTTCAATAATTGATAATCGTTAATTGACGGGAATCAACTATTAGAATTTGGTGTTAAATTTTAAAATTTGATACTAGTGTCAAAGGATCCATATATATATATATGGTTATATTTGACACAAGATATTAACCATTGATTTCGTAAATCTAACGGTTATAATTTATTAAATTGTACTTATTTATTAATTTTTAATAAATTATAACTGTTACATTGACAAAAATTAATGGTTAAGATCTGTTGTCAAAGGATCATGTCTCATATATATATATATATATATATACACACACACACATACATATATACACATATATGAGGTTTACATTTTTGCAGTTGCTGTATGTGCAACAATCAAATACATATACATATATCTATATATATACACATATGTATTTGATTGCTGTATTTGAGATAAGTTTCTCGAGCAGCTTGAGATAAGTTTATCTCCGGCTACCCCAAAACTACGTCACTTTATTTATTTATTTCTTTATATTAATTGATTCACCTTTGAATGGTTATGATTCTAAGATTATCTCAAACAGCTTAAGAAACGATAAACCCATATATATATATATATATATATATATATATATATATATATATTCCTTTTGCAATTTTTATTAAGAGATAAAAGATTTTCCTAATTTTCTTATTAAACAATCACTCTAAACTTAAGTATAAGTATACTTTGACAAGATAAATAGTGGGGCACACCAATTGTTGGGATAAAAAAAAAGTATATTCTCATGTTATATAAAATTCATCTCTCATTTGATATTCATATAAAAAATATTTTTTTCTAAATTGATGGCCCCATTTTATTTACTAGATATAAGAAGTAAAGAAAAGAAAAAAAGTTTAGAGTAAAATCCCAAATTGGTCCCTGACAAAAAATTCGGTGTCCAAATTAGTCCCTCACAAAAATAAATTAGTTAGATAGTCCCCAACAAAGAGAAACTGAACCCACGTTAGTCCTTCTGTTAATCCAAAACTCTCAGTGTCACTGACGGTGCTGATGTGTCACGTTAAGTGACATGCTGAAGGCCACATTGGTTTAGGAACGACGTTGTTTGGAGAGACTCATCCACGTTGGTCAGACCATTTTTTATTAAGCCCAAAATTTCCCCTCACCTAACCATTGGTCGCTTTACTGTTTCCTTCTCTTCTAACTTCGACGCTCCATTGTTGAGAAGGAAGAGGACCGTGGAGTAAACACTCGTCTGCGTTTGGAATACGAACTTCTTCAACAATCGGAGGGAGCCGGTGGAAGTAAAATAACTTTGGTTTTGTGTGAGGCAGAACCTTCTGTACAAAAAGGTAAGAGAGTAGTTATATCTTGAAACATTTTTTTATTGTTCTTTGTCCTCATTTGTTTGTGGTCCCCATGTTGTTCCCCTTTGTTTAATGCGTGTTTTTTTTCCTGATTGCCAAGTAGACATTGTGGTCCATGTTTCCATTTAGGGTTTAGGTTAAAGAATGTAACTACCGGATGGTGTGGTCCCTGTTTTAGAAAGTGGTCCATGGTTGACCCAGTAACAATTAAAAATCTATGGAAATCGTTGGAAAAAAAGTCAGCATCCATAAAAAATGTTTGTTTGTTTATTGCTTTGTATTGTTTAAGTGGTCTATTGTGTGTGGTCGTTTGATTAATGATAGGTTTGGTTTTTTGGTTTTGACAGATGTCAGAATACATGCTGATTGTGTATCATCATGATACATTGTGATACCCCAAAACCACTTCCTCCACGCTTGAAAAGGCCTATTGGACGTCCAAAAAAGCATCGCAAGAAGGATCCCACTGAAGAGCTTATGAAGACCAACAAGAAGCTTAGAAAGACTTACACAGTTCAATGCTCCAAGTGTGGTGAGACTGGTCATTACCCGAAGACATGTAAGGGACCTGCTGGTGGATCAAAGTCAAAGAATAAATCGGTTAATGTTGAAGTTCATTCAAGGACAGTTGAAGAAATCATCATGAGTCAGGGCTGCCCTGCACTAGAGACAAGCAGCCAGCATGCAACAAGTGCAGCTGAACCAAACACAAGAGCATCAAGAGGTAGTAGCCCACCTCCATGCAATCCTGCGGAGGCAGTGACCAGTAAGACAACAACTGCAGCTAGCAGTGGCACCAGGGCCAGATTCATGAGCTTCATGTCTACACCAGGGTTCAGGCCACCTAGGCCAGCCCCACATAAATGATTTGGAATACTCTGATAATCATTAACATTAGGCCAGTTCAAATGTGACAGTTGGCATTTTTTTTGTAATTAGTCCAGTTCATTGGAATTGTAATTAGGCCAGTTTTTTGGAATTAGTTTGGTTTTGGCCCTGTTCAAATGATTCACCAATGGCTTTTTTTGTATGCCTCTGGTTATGGCCATTTTAAGTAGGAACACTTTGTTTTTTGGAAGACTATTGTGTTGGTCTTAATGGTATATTATGTCAGTTGGAATTGTAAGTACAATCTGATGAAATGAATGGAGTATGTTCTGTGAAATACTATATCTTTGCTGTCATTACTATTTTTCATTGCTGTCATTGCTGTGAAATGAATGGAAGATTGTGTTGGTCTTCTTACAATCTCTTTGCTGTCATTGTTGTCATTACAACTTATACTGATACACTTTTTTGTTTCTGTCAATACTGGTGCTCATATTTTGTATGTTGTGTCATTTTGGGGTCATGTGTAAACATACCTGAACTTAGCACATTGGTCCCTGTTATATACCTTATAGGTCCTCCACATTTTTTATTGAGGACCTTTTTAGTCCCTGTTATTTTCCACACCTGGCCACATTGGTCCCTAACAAATTCATCGGGGTCTTTTTTGGTCCCTGTTAAACATGACAGTGACACCAATGCCACAAAAAGCTGTTACCAAACCCACTGCTCATTCCCCTTTTCTGTATAATTCCCTACATCCTTGTCGTTAGTGTTCATACAGTCTTTTGCATTTTTAATTGGCATTTCCAGATAACTTAATAGTACATTTTGTGCTTTCAGAACAATCAAGTTCAAGGACATTAACCAAATTATATACATTGCATGAACAACATCTCATTACATCCCAACACTGGTCTTTCCATTACAAAGAAGCATACATATTAGAGATTAAAAATGAACATTTCACTCCACCTTACTACAAAGATATAGACATATTACAAAGACAATGATAATGGATCCAACAAACACCTTAGCACACCTACACACATGCATCATTTCCTTCTCAACCCTTTTCAAAGTCTACCTGCATCTTCATTGATATGTCTTCAATCTTTATACAGTGCTCATTAATCTTCTTTTTGTGGTCATTCAGCTCTAGCTGCAGTTCATCATTGAGCTTCATGTCCAAAAAATTCAACTTGAATTCCATTTCAGCTACGTTCAACTCCAGCTTGTTAATTGTTCAATCTTCCAGCTCTATGGTATCAGATGTAGCATCATCCACCCATGTAAAAAAGTTACAGTGTGGCTTCTTTTCCTAAACCAAATTCAACTATACAGTTAATAACATTGACATTAGAAAAATAATGCATGAAAAAATCAACCTCACCTTGAAGTTGGGGCACCCAAAAATGATCTATTAGGGTTTCTAATGGTCTTGGAGGTGTAAACAACACTGTGCCTCCCACATTTACACAATGAAGTAACTCTCCTTCTTCCACTTCTGGACCCAAATGAACTACTTGAGCTTCCCCTTCCAGAAGAGATATTCATGGCATAAAAAGTAAGAATAATCCTAAATCGTACAGTATAAACCCACCTTCATTAAACCATCAATCAATTTTCCCCAAATTCATGTGTTCAATCTTCGATTCAATCCCATGCTTTCTGGTTTAAGAACAACCCTAAACCATACGACGACGTTCCTTGGATGAAAGTGAACTGATTCTGACCAACGTGGATGAGTCTCTCCAAAAGACGTCGTTCCTAAACCAAAGTGGCCTTCAGCATGTCACTTAACGTGACACATCAGTAACGTCAGTTGACACCGTGAGTTTTGGATTAACAGAAGGACTAACGTGAGTCCTGTTTCTCTTTTTTGAGAACTTTCTAACTAATTTATTTTTGTAAGGGACTAATTTAGGTACCAAAATTTGTTTTTGTCCAATTTGGGCATTTACTCAAAAGTTTACTGTAGTTCTTAGGCTTGCGAAAGTACAGCTAGGAATATTGGAAAGTACAGCTAGGAATATTGGATAACGGTTCCTTGTGGAAACACATCCATAACTAGAGGTGGACTTTCTTTCTATATTGTGCGTGACATGAATTAACAACACAAATTTGTGTAATTTTATTTTCAGTTTCTGATAATAAATTTTGAAGTCCTAGCCTATGGACTCTGCTTCATTCCCTCATCCTTTGATTTCCCACGCCATCACCAGCTCAAGGTATTTTCATTTTCTACACAGCACTATCATTCTTCTTTTTGCTGAATTCAACTTAAATAAGATTATTCTTTATTTGCAGCTTGCATCGCTCTTACGCTACTCATCAGAGTGCAAGATTTGGCCTATGGAAGAACAGGGTGTGGAGCTCAGCTTCTTGTGCTATTGGGTTCTCAGCGGTTGGAGTTGAAGACGCGTTTGATGATAGTAATTTGAAGAGAAACGAGAACGGATACTTGTTAGGTGCACTAGATGAGTCTTCTTCAGCACCATTTGGAACTTTAGACGCTGAAATAACACCAGAAACCACTGATTTCTTTGTTAGTGATGCCGATGGTGATCCAGACTGTCCTTCTAAAGGGTACTCTTCCATTGAACAATCGCTTAATGCCCTACGCCAAGGAAAGGTTGGTTTTATATATAACATACTCTTATGAGCATGATATACATATAAACATGCTAGATTAATCTTGAAAACAGTTCTTAAATAAGTGCTTTAAGAATGATGGATTAATCTAACAACTAACGCAATTTTTATTTTTATTTTTTAGTTTGTGATTGTGGTAGATGATGAAAACGGGGATGTTGAAGGAAATCTAATAATGGCAGCATCTCTTACTAGTCCCAAGGATGTAGCCTTTATGATTAAGCACGGATCAGGGATTGTTTCTGTTGGCATGAAAGATGAGGATCTTCAAAGACTGAACCTGCCTCTTATGTCACCAGAGACTGAAGAAGAGGATTCTTCTGCCCCCACCTTCACTATCACAGTGGTAAGTATCATTTTGAGTTGAAATAATTTTTTACATTATTATATTAGAGCTTCCGTGGTTAAATGGTTACAATTTCTATTAATTAAACATCGTGGAGTTTCTTAGTATAAGGAGGTGGAGCTAATGCATTATTCACCTTTCAAACTCAATAAATTCTTTTGTGGAAACATATTTGAGAAATATAATATCAAATGTCTTTAACTATCCCTTTTAAGTTTTTGAGTTGAAATGGTTATGTATAATCATATTCTTATTGCTGTAGCCTACTTTCTTCTTGCAAGCTTACTATAACAAATTATCTCAGGTAAAAACTCTGTTGTTTCCTTGGGTAGGATGCAAAATATGGAACTTCCACAGGTGTGTCAGCTGCTGATAGAGCAAAAACAGTTCTTGCTCTTTCATCTCCAGAGTCAAAATCAGAAGGCTTCAGAAAGCCTGGTCATGTGTTTCCCTTAAAGTATAGAAACGGTGGGGTTCTTAGGAGAGCAGGTCACACTGAAGCTTCAGTGGATTTAGTTGCACTGGCTGGCTTGCGACCAGTTTCTGTTCTTTCAGCTCTTGTTGATGAGGATGATGGCTCTATGGCATCTTTGCCAAATTTAAGAAAGTTAGCATTGGAATATAGCATACCAATTGTCTCAATAACTGATTTGATAAGGTAAGTAAGTTGCCATCACTTCTTAAGAAACTATAAAAGACTTTAATCTGATCTATAAGCTTATAAACTTCACTTTAATGATGTGAATGTATGCATTGCTTCAAGGTATCGGAGAAAGCGAGAAAAATTGGTTGAAAGAACTTCTGTTTCTCGCTTGCCTACTAAATGGGGTCTATTTCAAGCATATAGCTACAGCTCCAAGTTGGATGAAACGGAACATGTGGCTGTTGTGAAGGTATGCAAGAAAGTTCTCTAACAATTTAAAGTAGTTTGTTGTATGGGATTCATTTTCACTTCTAAGATGCTAATACATTCATTAAACATAACTTTGTTAATGATTTCCTTGGGAAAACAAACTTATATCTGAAACTAAAAAAATTGAAAAAATCTCTTCTTATTTATAATCTCTTATCAGTTAGTTGTGTCTCTTCTAAATATATACATAGGGAAACATAGGTGATGGACAAGATGTTCTAGTACGAGTACATTCAGAATGTTTGACTGGGGATATATTTGGATCAGCTCGGTGTGACTGTGGCAACCAATTAGATTTGGCAATGCAGTTAATCGAAGAAGCTGGAAGAGGACTAGTAATCTATCTTCGAGGTCATGAAGGAAGAGGCATTGGTTTGGGTCATAAACTTAAAGCCTATAATTTGCAGGATCAAGGTCATGACACAGTCCAGGCAAACATAGAACTTGGGTTAGCTGTTGATGCTCGTGAGTATGGGATTGGTGCCCAGGTCAGATTTATCAATCATTTTTGCTTATAGCGTGTGTGTGTGTGTTTATATATAAACAATGATGGATGTAGGTTTGAATATGTGACCTCTTTATCTATATCCCACTATTACAGGCAAGAAAATGTTATGTGATAGAGATATTTAACCATCATATAATATGCATAATCCTGCAAAAGAATTTATTTTTTTGTATTCTATGCTCCCTTATTTTTTTATTTGGACTTTATATACACAATGTAGGCTCTTTCTTTTATAAATTTCACACAACCCGCTTCTAGCTAGTGAAATATGAAACCTCTGGATTAAAAGTATTAAATTCATTTATTCAGATATTTTGGTAGGAATAAATGACCCTATGGATGTAATTTAGGTAGGGGTAAGTCTCTACGCCCGTTCCATTCTGAGTATGAGTGTTAGGTGATTGATTCCATGTGCAAGAGTGATTGATTGATTGATTATGTAATTATGGGTAGGTTTACGGTGATTGATAAATAATTATGAGTAATTAATTATGTATTTAGAGGGTCAATTTATGGGTGATTGATCATGTTTTTATGAAGAATATGTGATAAATAAGGAAGAAGAGAGTATCATTACTAAATCTGTGATATGCATATGGAATAAGTGACCTCTTATAACAATATTTGAGGGCAGAAAAACTTGACTTCTCCCAGCTTCCAATTTTGATTCACTCAATAGTCTATCCAATAACCACTTCTTCCTTCTCCCTCATTTATCATAAATTTTCCATAAATAATTGAATTAGAATCAATTACCAATAAAACAACCCCATAAATAAAGAATAATCACTCATAATTACAAAGTCAATCATTCATAAATATTGAATCAATCGCACACTCATCTGGGAAAGGCCAAATCCCCTATTGCTTTTCCTAAAATACACTTGTAAAGTTATTGTATTGCTATCACATATTCTCTTGTTATGGATTATGTTCTATTATCTATGCTACCTTCCGTAGTGATCAGCCTTCTTGTGATTGCATTTTATTTGATGAAGTATATATATCTTGCTACTCATAAATAGATCACGAAGTATGCAGATTCTGAGGGATATAGGTGTTCGAACTATGAGGCTGATGACTAACAACCCAGCAAAATTCATTGGTCTTAGAGGATATGGTTTGGCAGTGCTAGGACGCGTTCCTGTGTTGACACCAATCACTGAGGATAACAAGCGCTACCTTGAAACTAAAAGGACCAAAATGGGTCACATTTATGGGTCTGATTTACAAGGATCATTACCTGGATTCACCGATTCAAATGTAAATAACCAAGACTCACCGAAGAACACATAGTCTACACTCTACACACACACACACACACACAAAACAACAACATATATAGGTATAGATATTTAAACGATGAAATTCATTTGTAAAGATTGTAATCAGTTTACTGTGTGTACAGTTTGCTACTCAAAAGTTTCAGACTATCATATGTCTCAATGCTAGTTTTATTTTTTTATTTTTTTATTTCTTACAATCAGAAATTTCAAATCTCTGCCAGCCATTGCTAAACCTTCTACAAAATCAGAAGAACGGAAACGAAATAGATTCAGGTGGGAATCATAATACCCAAACTTATCAATACATATTCCTACCAAAAGCTCAAATATTTGAACCCAAACGTATTTATTCACTTTCTAATTTTACAAATTCAACGTTGTCTAATTTTCAAAATATAATCTAAACAATAAAAAATGCAATTCGAGTTCAGATTTTGCATATTTTAACAATTAAAATACATTGCTAAAATTACCTACATCATTAATATTTAATTTTAATACTTATTTTATTTTTTTATTTTTTTATTTTTCTTGCAGATGTCTGAAGCTTGGTTCGAGAAGGAGCACAATTTAAACTTAAGATCACGTAATTTTTAAAAGAATTTGGAGACACTTAAACTAAGATCACGACCTAGTTCGAAGTATTAAAAGGAGCCATATACTGCCACGAAATATTTAAATAGTAGAAGTCTATAATATTATTAAGTTATTACAATTGCCATTTTTTTAAAAAGTAAATGATTTTCTGTCCACTTAAACCAATGGTTATTAGTGTTATACAATTCTAATTATTAATTTATTACAATCAATATCTAACAGTAATCTATTTCAACATTTTAGTATAAGGTTTAATTTAAAAACTATTTCAAAGTTCCGATAATTCATGTTAATACTGGATTTCAATCCTTCAATCATCTTATTTAAAATACAATTATTTAGAACATTGTTCGATCCACAAACATGTTATACTAAACTAGTTAATTATATCTCCTGAAACACAGGACTTGTATACTGCCTTTTCTGGAAGATTTCTAATTGTTATTTTATTGACAAAGGATTTTGTTTTAAAAAACATAATATAATATTTTTTATGATTTTTCTCATTGTTTCAAAAGAAGATATTTTCCCTTTTTGAGGCTAAATAACAATTGTCCGTGTGTTAACGGACTGAGTCGAGTCGAATTTTGATCTTAAAAGATTAAGTCTGTGTTTAAATATGTCAGTCTGACCTAGCCTATTACCTGTTATAAATATAATTATCGATCTGACATGACTTATATACAAAAAAAAAAACTTGATTTAATTTGTTAGCCTGTTAAGAAAAAATAAGATAACAAAAATTTATCTAAACAAAATATATGATTAACAACACTAATAATTTCACACAGATTCATGAATTTAATGTATCTAAATAACATAATATAGAATAAAATCATTGAAAAATCTGTTTAGCCAATAAAATGAGATGAAATGGATTGAGGAGAGAGCTATTATAAGTAGTATAAAAAATATAAAATAAAATAAAATTAGTATACTCGGCCAGCCTGAGCCGAACTTTTGAATTAGAGTCTGAGAATTTTTTATTAAACGAACTTTTATTCAAGTCTAAATCTGATTCCAATAATTAATTTTAAACATATAAATTCAAACTTTTACCACTCGGGGGCAAAGACTTGGTTGGTTTAGCACCGTTAATTGTATGGTTTATTGCCTATTCTTTAGATGGACTGAAAAATAATCCTCTTGGGCTAGTCCTCCTGGGTTTGAATATATAAACTTGTCAATGGGCTAGGCGCATGGGCTAACGATGGAAAAAATTATGAATTGAAAGGTTTGCAATTTCATAGGAAGCATATATAAGACCAAACCAAACCCTAAAAATGTCGTGTGCCTCTGTTTCTCACGCGCAGGTGGTGCTCTAAACCTTAATCCGTGTCTTGTTGAGTGCCTTTCACGAAACTTAGTTTCGTCTTGTTTTACTTTCAGGGTTTCACGAAGATTTGACAGCTAGGGTTTCTTTTCATTCGCTGACCCATGGCTCCAGCTAAAGGTATGTCCTTCGCCACTCTCACTTTTCTGTTTCAACTCTTTCTTACCCTATGATTTCCAAATCCGGCTTAGGAAAACTGCAAACTAGTGATTGAAGATTTGTATTTAGTCCCTAATTTGGGTATTGAGATTTCTGCCTCTGTTTCATTATGCAATTGTATAAAAACGAAAATTAGGGCTTCCGTGAATTTTTCGGTATAATTATGTTCTTTACATATTGATCTGATGCAATGTTAATCATAGTCGTCTGGTTTGTTGTACTGTGGGGAGTTGAAATGAGGGGAGAATTAATATGTTGTTCCTTATGCCATCTATAAATGAGCTATACCAAGTTCAGTGGAACCGTCTTTCCCCTTATACCAAAGCTATAAGCTTTTGAGCATTACTCAAGACTACATATATAAATATTATTATTATAATTATAATTATAATGCATGGATTTTTATTTATAATTTTTTAAGCCTAAACTTGAGCTTATTATCTGGGTTTACTTTTAGCCTACACTATTTGTCAACCTCATTTGTTGCCTGAAACCTGCGTTCTTGTCTAACCTTGTGTTGTTGACTTCCTAAATTCCTAGGTTCGCAAGTAGTTTTAGTAACTGTGATTAGATATATTTCTGTGTACAGTTAATGCTATTCAATCTGTGTGTATGGTTCATTCTTGCAGTGTTAATCAATCATTTTTTTGCATTGCATCAAAGATTATACTGTATAAAAAGTTGGATCTTGATTTTTCTTGTACGTAATGTGACGAGATCAAGGGTTTTGTGTAGTTGATAGTTCAAAGAAGACTGATCCAAAGGCGCAGGCCTTGAAAACTGCTAAGGCAGTCAAGTCAGGCGCTACCTTTAAGAAGAAGGCCAAAAAGATCCGAACATCTGTTACATTCCACCGGCCAAGGACTTTGAAAAAGGATAGGAACCCTAAATATCCCCGAATCAGTGCTCCACCAAGGAATAAGCTTGATCACTATCAGATTCTGAAATATCCCTTGACAACTGAGTCTGCAATGAAGAAGATTGAAGACAACAACACTTTGGTTTTCATTGTTGACTTACGAGCTGACAAGAAGAAGATCAAGGATGCAGTAAAAAAAATGTATGACATCCAGGCCAAGAAAGTAAACACCTTGATCAGGTGAGCCGTTAAGTAGTGATTATTTTATAAGTTGTCTGGTAATTCATATTTGCTAATAATGGCAAAGGTTGACCGGCAGTGAATTTGATATTGCAATCTCTCTTCTAATCTTTTATTAAATTTGATATTGCAATCTCCCTTACTGTTTTTGACAAGGGCTCATGTTGCGCATTGCACAGGGCAACATTGAAATGCGACACATTTTAAATGTATTTAACATAGTCCACTGTGACAATGACATGCAAATGGAACAACGAATTTATATGAAAAAGTTGCATGCTTACTTAAAACAGCTACTCTCACTTTTTAATTTGAATTTTTCTGTTGCAGGCCTGATGGCACCAAGAAGGCCTATGTCAGGTTGACACCTGATTATGATGCCTTGGATGTAGCAAACAAGATTGGGATTATCTAAGTAAGTTAATTCCGGGCTTCACCGAAGTTGGTTTTTATTTAGATGTTAGTCTGTTTTATGGTGATTATTGATGGAGATTTTTGAAGCAACGTTAAGTTCTAAATTTTGCAGTTTATTATTTGGTGTATTTTAGCTTAATCGGAATTAAGTTTACTTTTGTTACAATTTCCAATTTGATGAGTAAAGAAGCAGCACGTTATTATTGTCCAATTTTAGTTTAGGCAGATTTTTCAACTAAAGGATGGTGGTCATAGTGCTGTCACTTTGACGAATTCTATATTGAATTAAATTTAATTATGATGCACTGTTAACAGAAATGAGAAATTCGTAATTTTTTTTTGGATATTAACAAAAAAAGAAACAGTAGCCAGAGTGCTTTGGAAATAAACTTTTATATTTGTTATTTTTGGGATATTCACGCCATTTAAAGAACGTTAAACACTTGAGGTTTTTGTAAACTATAATTGAAAATACACTATCCTGAAATGTATATGTTTAAGAATGATTTTATTATATTTCAAACATACTCCACTTTATGTGAAAGAGTCCGTGTAAAAAATGTAGATGTCTAATTTGTCTAATTTTGTCATGTAAAATCCGAAGTTTTTGAGAGTGCGTTACTCTTATTACAAATTAATGGACCAAATTGTTGATGTCCAATCTCCAAATTTTGTGAGATTTTAGAGGGAACGGATATACCTTTGTGGGGGGAAGTTTTGACTCCTCAAAGTTTCTTGCAATGTGTCTAAAGATGCTGAACACTATTTTAGCAACGAGGTTATGATTTACATGGGATCTGCAGAGGGGGCAATTTCAATGAGACAGAAACCATGAGTCGATGCAAGAAATATGAAAGCGGTGGGTGCAATTTGGAAGAAGCAGCCATTCCCCATCTTCAAATTCCCCCAAGCAAATGGCAGAGTCTGCATTAATTGGCTTCTATTCTGCCTCCATTTTCTTAAACTGTGACAGGGGAAAAGAGTACATAACAGAGAACTCGGAGCCACTACTTTAAAATTGTAGTGAATCATAATCAGGAATGAACACATCTAGAGGTAGGGATGTGCATGAGACCTGAATCATAATCAGGAATGGACATATCTAGAGGTAGGGATGTGCATGAGTCGAACCGAACCGGATTTTAAAAAAAACCGAACCGAATTGGTTTAAATGGTTCGGTTCGGAAGTGGTTCGGTTCAAAACTGATTCGGTTCGGAAGTGGTTCGGTTCGAAACCAGTTCGGGTCGATCCTCTTTTGAAAAGAATTTTTTTTTTAAAATTCTAAAAATAAAGTTTTTAAAATCAATTTGGTTCGGTTTGAAAATAGTTCGGTTCGGAAACGGTTCAGTTCGGTTCAAAATGGTTCGGTTCTTAAACTGGTTCTTTAAAAACCGGTTCGGTTCATGAACTGGTTTTTAAAAATTGGTTATTTTAAGGACGGTTCGGTACGGTTCATAGTTCAGTTTAGTTTTGTGGTTATTTTGCACACCCCTATCTAGAGGTCGCCCTTGAACCCAATTTCTAACTCCAAGAGACCCTCAACTACGAGCAAACTTAGAGTGATCCGGAACCAAAAAGCATTGGGTGGGACTGAGGTGAAAGAAAGAGAGAAAAAGTTGAGGAGAGAGAAAAAATAAAAATAAAAAATAAATAAATAATACAGGTGTCAATTTTTGATTGGAAGAACCACGGTAGTCCGGAAGCATATTAAAAAATCCTCTCAACTACACAGAAAGAGCACATATAATACAAAAATCAAACAAACTCCCAGTGGTTTAGCCTATCAGACATTTTAATCAGATTAACAAAAATGTGAAGTTACGGAGAATTTGAAAGCAGTGGCGGAGTAAAAGTAAAATAAAATCCAGCTAGTGCTAAGAGACCTAGTCAGGTTGAAATTAGCCAATACCAAAATTGTTTGCAAGGGATTTGAATAAACTTATCTGCTTGTTGTGTATAAATGCTAAGACACGGAGAATTTGCAAGGGACTGAATAAACTCATTTGCTTGTGTATATATAATGCTAAGACAAGTGTTGCACGTAAACGATATAGGATTTAATGTCAAGGTGAAAGTCTTGCACGTTAACCAAACCACCCGAGACTCTTTTAACTTGTATGTTGATTATGCCGGACTTAATGCCATCATTTAAGTCTCAACATTTGTTATAAAGTCTCGGATGTTTGCCACGCTGTTACTAAGTCCCGCATAGTAAATGTGAAACTTCCACCCTAACATTGAGCCTTGTATCGTTGACGACCTATGAGATTTGTTTCCTACTATGAAATTAAATGCATTAATTTAAAAGATCTTTTAAAAAATGAATTAAATAATTATTTTTATTCAAAACAAACATTAGTTTTTGATCAAAAAGCCTTCGGGGGGGCGTTTGGTTCATGAATTTTTTTTTGGAATAGTAGGGAAATGAGATAGATAGAGAAATGATTGGAAAGATAGATAAAGTGAGATAGGTAGAGAAATGTAAAAAAAAATTGTTTGGTGGGGAAAAACTTTACTGGGAAAATTAGGTAACTTTATGAAATCAACAGTGCATTAAAAGTCAGATAACTGGTTTTCCGAAAAATCTCACCTTCAAATTGGGTTTCTAAACAGTCTTCTTTAGATCTACTTGTTTCACTCCGACAGTATCATAAATAGAATCAATGCATAGGAAATGAATGCATTTCCATACTATATGAGTTAAGTGAAATAGCGCCAGTTATGGGATCTAATCCTCTACGAAAAGTAAGAAATTCCGCGTATTTTGACCAATTCAATATGTTTCTCATAAATCCAGACAAATTGGATAGATGAGTTTTTGGTGAAAAACGTTGAAACAAACATGGTGTTTCTAAAAGCCATATTTGAGAAACATAGATATCCGCTGAAAAGCTCCCAACCAAACACCACCTCAAAGTCAAAGCTTAACGCAAATTTTCAAACTATATTACACATAGAAATCACTCACTCTATGATAATATTTTGATAATATCAATAAGGTTAAAACACAAAAAGAATGCGATAACATGATTTCTAAAGTTGTTATCCATAATATGATAGCTTGGATTTCTATCCATAAAGCTGCGTGGTCGAGGTGGCAGACAAGGGGATCCTGGAAGCTCACGCTTTTTTTTTTAAGTCTTGAAGATAACATATTTCGGATTTTTGGTGGAGACCAAATTCAGGTAATACATTTTTGGTGTTTTTGCTGCACTTGGAATTTGATTGCCTGAAACATGCATGGTTAATATTGTGATATGTAGGGCTTAATGCGAGCTTTCAGAGTTGAAGACCTACCTATTGAGTCCAAGATGTTGACCAAACATTAGATGAAGCCCAGAGAAAAGTGGAGAACTATTTCTTTGACATTCATTGTTTGAGTATGATGAAGTACTTAACAGCCAAAGAGATCGTGTTTATACAGAGAGAAGAAGAAATAGTTCTTATTATCTCTTCTTATTGAATATGCTGAATTGACAATGGATGACATTTTAGAGGTAAGTCTGGCTAAAATTTTGTTCCTTTTGTACCTTAATTGTGTAACATAATAATCAATCTTATGCTGAATTAGGCGAACATTGGTTCTGATGCTCCAAAAGACAGCTGGGATCTTGAAAAACTATAATTGCTAAAATTCAGCAGTAAGTGGAATCTTTTGATCCTTGTGCTTGATTCCTTGTTTGGATTAGTTATATGCAGAAACTTTGATTTTGTTCCTAAGTGCACGTAAGCATTAATCAATAATTCATGCTCAATAACAATCAAATTAAGAACATGAAAAAGGATTTTTAGAATTTTTGAGTTTCATATAAACATACCTTTGTCCATAATTGCGGAAGATCTTTAACGGTAGAATGTTTTCTCAGAGTCTTGACCCTTTCACTTCTTGTATCTTCTTCTGATAGGGATGAGATACAACGCTCATGGGCAGACAACGATGGTAGTCAGTTTTCTAGACCCCTATTTATTAGAAAACTACACACTTCTCTTAAGATAACTGCACCAATCAACAATTATTCTTTTAAACAACTTCTTTAGCAGTCAATTACCATTATGCCCTTTTATTAATTAAATCAAATAACACTTAATATTATACATGAGACAAACTGAAACTACCACTACCAAATTTAAAAGAGTATCCAACAACATCAAGTATGGAAATTGAATCTAAATTCCTAGATATACTAGGGACATAAAGAGTTTCACATAAGTCCAAATGAAATCCACTGTCGAGAATCAAACGGTACGTCCCAACAGCTTCCACCGGAACTTTCACTCTATTGCCCATAAAGACAAACTTTTCATTTGGCCTTGTGGTTTGGGTCATAAGGAATCCCTGCATCGTATTAGAAACATGAGTAGTACAACCAGAATCAATCCACCAAGTATTATAAGGAACTTCAACTAGGTTTGTTTCATAACATACATAAGCACTAGGCTTACCTTTCTTTTCGAACCAAGCCTTACGTTTAAGGAAATTCTTTTTGAAATGCCCCTCCTTTTTACAGAAATGACATCTCTTTGCATTATGTTCCTTTTTGTGGATTTTAGAAGAAGATGCCTCATTCATCTTAAGGGTCCTCTTCCTCCTCCTTTCTTCTAATGCTTCTTAGCATTATTCTTCTCAGCTCCTTGATGCTTCACATAATTGATGGAATGAGCTCCATGATTCTTGAGTCTGGTTTCCTCCAGAACTAGCATATTGTGCAATTCATGCACATTCTATTTATCTTTCATGGTATTATAGTTCATTTGGAAAGGACCATACTCAGACGGTAATGAGTTCAATACGAACTGCACCAGGAAATTTTCATCCACAACCATTCCCAATGATTTCAATTTTGCCGCAATGCTTGTCATATCAATAACATGCTCATGCATAGTACGCGAACCATCAAATTTCATGGTGGTCAGTGTACTCATAAGTGTCCCAGCAAGAGACTTATCAGCAGTTTGAGAGCGTTCTTCCACAAGTTTCAATATTTCTTTGGCACTTTCAGTTTGTGGAAGAGCTGACTTAATGTTGCTTGCAATGCTCATTTTCATGTACATCAGACTTAATCTGTTGGATCTTTCCCAGTTCTTAAAATGGTTCCTTTCATCCTCAGTGCTTTCAGGAGTAACAGCACCAGGTTCCTCTTCTCTAAGAGCCAAATCCATATCCATTACCCCAAGGTAAAATTGGATTTGCTCTTTCCATTCAGAGAAGTTCACCCATTAGAAACTGCAACAATTGAGAACATGAAATATGTGGCAAAAGGTACTGCGAGGAATAACATTTAAAACATTAATGCTTTGAGTCATACATATCACATGCTAACATACTTCACAAATTCAAATATACTAACTTCAACGCATATTAATGTTCACCTTTGGGGATCCATTAATATACAACATTAACCATAATGATGCTATAAAAATTTCATATAATTTGGCAATGATGCATACCCCCAACTAGAAATATTTGTCATCTTTGGATGTTCAAATAAAAACAGAAGTATACCAACAATACCAACGTCCATGTTCATTTACTATAAAACAAATAATCATCCTTTGGGTTGATCCCTAACTGTCCTATAATAATGAACTTCAATATACCATAACATGAACAATTATTTCATACTATTCATAGCATCATAGTCATGGTAATTGAAACAAAATCATAATATTTGAAATTAAAATAACTCTTTAAGATTTGGCCACTTCGGTGACTAATAAATCTACCATATTTAATTCCAAAACTAGAATATTTCATAAACAATAATAGGATTAAATTTTCACATTCAATTTTAATCCAACCACATCACATAATCATTCACGGTTTAGCAGAATGGCCACGGAAAAATAACGAGTGATATTACAGTGCAAATGGCTACGGAAAGGATGATTATAACATGAATGGTTACGGAAATCAAAGTGGAACCAAGTCCATGTTTGATCCTGTTGTAACATGCTTAACCTAATAGTAGTTTTAAAACCGTGGACATAGTAGCTTACTTCAAAGGATAAAAGAAAGGAAACCACATCACTCAATCTCCCATTAAGCCTTCCAATAATTCATAAAAAATAGAAATAAATGAATGGCTACGGAAAACCGAATGGCAATGATATTACAGTGCAAATGATTCATAAAACCGAATGGCAATAATTCATAAAAATAAAAAAATGAATGTCCCTTCACATTGTATTAAATGGCTACGTTTTCCAACTTTCATTAAAAATATGAACGCGAAAACCGAGAAGTACCTTTGTCCATGATGATCAGAATTTTCAATGATGATGGTGAATTTTATTTTTAATGATCGAGAAGTACCTTTAATACTTTTATTTTCAATGATGATTATGAAATTTCAAAAACCTTAACTTTTTATGAATTAAGAATTAATTCATAATTATATATGAAAAAATATAAATTCTTAAACCAGGCTCTGATACTAAATGTAAGCATTAATCAATAATTCATGCTCAATAATAATCATATCAAGAACATGAAAAATGATCTTTAGAATTTATGAGTTTCACATAAACATACATGTTATGGACCCATATAAGGGGCACATCAAGTGATAAGCCCAACAAGGGACAATCCAAGATATGAATCAATAATAATCATGGATAGATATCCATCAAGGATACTAATCCTAATATAACAACATAGCAAGCAGGCCTAGGCCCTTACCAGGGGCACCAAAGGCCCGTCCATACTACCCTCAGGTAACCTCTATAAATACAAGGTAAACCCTAAAGGTACGATACGCTATCTCTCTTACTGTTATGCTGTCACTGTGCGCACACACACAAGGATACCCCATTGGCTAACGCTGTTATAGTATTCTGTGCATAGTGATCTGCTTGACTCAAGGGTATCTCCTCTATAGATACCTTGGAGAGGGCACTAGATCCAAGAAAAACATATCAGCCTATTGGGCTGGACATCTCTGTCCCAAGGACAGAACATTGGCGCCGTCTGTGGAGAATTCTTCTCTGAATTTGAAGTTCCCACTAATCTGACGAAGGATGGCATCCAAACAAGGAGCAGAAGCCAGCAGCCACCCCAAAACCAGAACCAACCGCTGGATCCAGTTCTGGAAGAGGCAAATCAGCCTCAGCACCAGCTAGGAACTAATGTGGATTATGATAACGTCCATGTCAGCGAAGATGTCTCAGACACCGCTTCCATTCCAGCACGTCGTGATAGGGGTCCTAATCCAATCACGGCTCCAGTAAGGACTAACCCTCCCCAGCACCCTGAGGATCTTGCTGCGCGTATTGCCCAGTCAACCGATTCAGATACTCGGCTGGCTCAGAATGCATTCGCTTCGAGTATGCAGCGAATGGCAGAGTTGGAAAATTGCAATAACCTCCATCGGCAACAAGATTTCCAAACAATACGAGAGGAAAGTACCAGGGGAATGCGAGACCTGGAACAACGCTTAATGAGGTTAACTGGAAGAAACGAAGGCCAGGATGCCAATGGCCGGGAAGGAAATCGCAACTCGGTTCATCAGAATCGGGTTATAGAGGTGGAAAACCGTGAAAGGCCTAATCCGGCGAACACGACAAATCCGAATCAGGGAAACCAGGTTCTGGAGGGAAAAAACGCTCCTCTGCAGCCCATGATCCAAAACGCTTCAACAGAGGCAAATGGGCAGAGACATCAGGACGGAACTCGTCCTCGCCGTGATGAACAGATAGTTAGAGACGGGTGGAATCCAGTGCCTACAAAAGAAAATACAGCAGGGGGCAATATAACAACAACCCCTTCACTAGGGAGATTTTGAATGCACCCTTCCCAGAAGACTTTGATTCGGCACGACTGCCGAAATATGATGGAAGTCAAGACCCCAGGTCCATATTGATGCTTTCGACACGGACATGTACATCCGAGGAATAGACGAGCCTCTTATATCTCGGATATTTGCCTTAACCCTGACTGGGGCTGCGCAGGCATGGTTCTTTACCTTACCTGCCAACTCCATTGGGTCTTTTGAGGAATTTGGGAAAAAGTTCCTCTTAAACTTTGCAACAAGTAAGAAACACCCGAAGTCCGAGTTCACACTTGGAAAGATACATCAACAACCTGGAGAAACCCTCCAGAGATACCTCAATCGGTTCAAGGACGCTGCATTGCAGGTGTCGGGTTTGCAAGAGAATGTCCACGTACATCTCATTGTGGCTGGTTTGGACGGTACATCTAGACTAGCCAAGTTGGTCTATAAGGACCCAGTGAAGACGTTGGAAGAATTCAGAACTCGTTCGAAAAAATTCCTCGAACTTGAGCAAATGAAAATTGCCAATGCGCAATCTGACGAGGGCAAAAGAATTAGCCCAAGAAGGAGAAGCCCGGCCCCGAAAGGAAATGAATGGGTTGATAACAAGAAAAAAGAGTCCAGGGCCCGATTCCCGGATGAACGGGATCGAGTTGGAAGATATGAGAAGTACACACCGCTAAATGCGCCACGCTCTCAAATCGGGAGGGAAGTGGCAATGACGGGAATGAAGAAGGTAGAAAGACCCTGGCCCATATTCGACAAAGGAGGTTTGGACAAGTCCAAATACTGTGCATTTCATGACGGACCGGGTCATACTACTGACCAATGTTGGGATCTCCGAGATGCCGTGTAGAAATTTGTTCGAGATGGAAGGTTACGCCAATACGTGATCAAAACCCAGGGTTCCAAAAATAACAAAAGGAAGTCGGGAAACATAAATAGAAGTAAAAGCCCGGTTCCTGAAAAGAAATACAAGGAGGAACGGAATCAGAAAAACGATTCCAACCATGATGAGTTCTCGGAAGCGGAATTTGATTGCAATATAATTAGTGGAGCCCTGGGAGGAAGAGGAGACACGGTAAGTGCCAGAAGAAAGTATTTGAAAGAGGTACTCTCCATCCGAGACCGTCCTAAATTCAAGGAAAACCTTAGCAAACCAGACCCTCCCCTTTTGTACTTCACAAAAGAGGACATGCATGGTGTGCTGCCGGGACATGTAGACGGGTTAGTCATTGCTGGAACCTTGGTAAATTGCCAGGTTAAGAAAATTTTCGTGGATGGAGGGAGTAGTGCCAACATCGTACTCTGGGACGCTTTCAAAAAGATGAACTGGATGTGGAGGACCTTAAACCTTGCAAAACGACTTTGATAGCTTTTAATGGAGAACATACACCTCCTAAAGGCTACATAGACTTCAGAGTGACCTTGGGAACAAAAGAAGCATTCAAATCAGAACGGGTCAGATTCATAGTGGCTGATTTCTCATCCGAATATAATATAATTCTGGGAAGACCAACCATACACGAGTGGGACATGCTGGTTTCTACAAAGCACTAGAAAATAAAAATGGTGAGCAATAAGAATGAAATAATTACTGTTTATGGAGATCAAAAGGAGTCCAGGGGATACTATTTTGACACTGTCAAAGAAAATGAAGGCAGGCATTCGAGTCCACCCCAGATTCACCCAGGGGATAAACTCGGCAAGAACACAATTCCTCAACACTCAAGGAGGTTGGTCAACGTGGTTGAACTAGACATGAGAGAAGAAGTAATCGCGAGACCTGAGCCCGATGGAGAATTAGAAGATCTTGCATTGGAGAAAGAACCTGGTCAATTTACCCGAATTGGTAAGACTATAGATCCTCGGATCAAGCAAGAGTTAGCCGGGTTTCTAAAAAACAACTCGGATGTATTTTCTTGGAGATCATCAGAGATCCCAGGGATAGACCCTGCCTTCTGCTGCCACAAGTTGGCAGTTTACCCTGGATCCACACCGGTTTCTCAAAAGAAAAGGAAGTTGGGACCGGAAAGGAAACATGTCCTGGAAGAACATGTGAAGGAATTACTGGATGCAGGGTTCATTCGGTTAATACAGTATACAACATGGCTGGCAAATGTGGTGATGGTGAAAAAACCAAACGGGAAGTGGAGAGTCTGTACTGATTATACGGACTTGAACAAGGTAGGCCCAAAAGACTCCTATCCTATGCCCAACATAGACCAGCTGGTAGACAACTCCGCTGGATTTCAATTGCTGTCTTTCATGGATGCATATTCTGGTTACAACCAGATTCCAATGTATCCAGGAGATCAAGAAAAAACCGCCTTTATTGCTGAAAAGGCCAACTATTGCTACAATGTGATGCCGTTTGGGCTTAAAAACTTAAGGGCAACTTATCAAAGGATGATGAATAGGGTGTTTGAGGATCAGCTGGGCAAAAACGTGGAAGTATACATTGACGATATGATCGTCAAGTCAATTGACATGACAAACCATGTCCAGGATCTCAAACAAACTTTTCAAAAACTCAGGAAATATCGAATCTGTATAAACCTGGTAAAGTGTGCTTTCGGAGTCCCAGCTGGAAAGTTTTTGGGTTTCATGTTAACCCATAGAGGAATTGAAGCAAACCCAGACAAGTGCAAGGCGGTACTTGATATGAAGGTGCCATAGAATAAGAAGGAGGTTCAACAGTTAACCGGTCGATTAGTTGCATTAACCCAGTTCTTACCAAAGTCTGCTGAGAATGCCCTCCCATTCTTTAAACTATTAAAGAAGGAAGCAATAGAAGGCTGGAACCCGGAGTGTCAAGCCGCGTTTGAAAAAGTCAAAAGATGTCTCGCAACTCCACCAGTGCTCTCAAAGCTAGAAACAAGAGACATTCTGATCCTGTATCTGGTTGTGAGGGAAGAGGCAATAAGTGCAGTCCTGATCAAGGAAACTGATAAAGGCAAAGAGCCGATTTACTTTATCAGTAGAGCTTTGCAAGGTGCAGAGGTCAGATATCAAAAGCTAGAAAAAATGGCCTTTGCTTTACTGGTCACGGCTAGAAGATTGCGGCCATATTTTTCAGGGACATCAAATAATAGTCTGGACCAATCAGCCTATATGCCAGGTTTTGCATAAGCCGGACCTGGCAGGACGAAGGACTAACTGGGCAATTGAGCTCAGTGAGTAACTGGGCAATTGAGCTCAGTGAGTATGACATAACATATGAAAGTTGGAAGGCCATCAAGTCACAAGCGTTGGCCGACTTCGTAATGGAGCTAACACCAAAAAACTCAGAGCATAGCGAATCTGGGGATGCATGGAAGGTCTATGTTGATGGATCCTCCAATGATAAAGGAAGTGGAGCCAGAATCATACTTGAAAGCCTGGAAGGGGTGACAATAGAGCACTCCTTGAATTTGGGATTCCTGACTTCGAACAATCAAGCAGAATATGAAGCTCTGATAGCCGGGTTGATGCAGGCTAAAGAACACGGAGCTAAGAAGGTGAAAATCTTCAGTGACTCACAGTTGGTAACTTCGCAGATAGAAGGAAAGTACCAGGCCCAAGGTCCTCTACTGATGAAGTACCTGAGTAAGGTTCAAGAAATAATGACCGACCTCGATGAAGTACAGGTTACTCATATTCCTCGAGGGGAAAACTGCCGAGCAGATATCTTGTCTAAATTGGGAAGTACCAAAAACCCTGGCAACCACAGAACTGTGGTACAACAAAGCATAACAATGTTGAGTTGCGTGATGGTTATTACCTCGGCAAATGACTGGAGACAACCCATAGTGGCATACCTTGAGAAGGAAATATTGCCACAAGATCGACTGGAATCGAGGAAGTTGGTCCGAGATGTAACACAATACACAGTTGTAAAATATCAGCTGTTTAGAAAAGGATTGCATGTGCCGGTGCTGAATTGCTTGAACTCGGATGAAGCAGAATATGTTCTAGCTGAGATACATAAAGGAATCAACGACCATCACATGGGAGGAAAAGCTTTGGCCCGAAAGGCCCTCCGAGCTGGTTATTATTGGCCTACCATGGAGGCAAACTCTAAAGATCATGTGAAGAAATGTGATAGCTGCCAGAAGTATGCCAAGCTAATTCTTTCACCACCTGAAGAACTGAAGCATATTTCGGCGCTATGGCCTTTTTTCAAATGGGGAATGGACTTGCTGGAACCCTTCAAAGCTGCAGAAGGGCAGTTAAAGTGGTTGATTGTGGCTGTAGATTATTTCACAAAATGGATAGAAGCAGAATCAGTCGCCACAATCACCTCAGCTAGAGTACAATCGTTCTTTGAACGGAACATAGTCTCCAGGTTCAGGATACCCGACGAGGTGGTTACTGATAATGGAACACAATTTGCTGATAAAAAGTTCCAACAACTGATGAAAGACTTGCAAGTCATACATCGCTTTGCATCTGTGGAACACCCACAGTCAAATGGACAAGCTGAAGCAACAAACAAGGTAATCGTGAATGGTCTCAAAAAATGAATGTTCGATGCCGAAGAAAGCTGGGTTCAACAGCTCTACGTTTTCCTTTGGGGATACAGAACAAGTACCCAAACTACAACAGGGGAAACCCCTTTTCGACTGACATATGGTTGCAAAGCCATGATTCCGGTGGAAATCGGAGAAC